TTGTTCTTGTGTTATTTTGTAAATGTATGTGTGTTTGTTAATATGTTTCTGTTCTTTTATCTTTAAAATAAAAAAAAAGTAAAACACGAAATAGGGAAAAAAAGCTAACTACAAAGAAGACTCAAAATTCAGTGAAAAAAGGTAATCAGCCACCCTCAGTACTCAAGATCCACAGGGAAGCAGCAAATCCTTTTAGGTCTCCTTGTCCAAAAATGATGTCATGAGGAAGGAGCAGCCCCCCCAATTTTACATGGAACACTTCATGGAGAAACCGGGCCACAAAAGGAAGAGCAAGCAACACTTGACCACAAAATAAGTGACTACAATTTTAATTTAAAAATTGCCCCTCAAGAGAGTTTGGTGGCAGGAGTTCAAAGTGAGTAGAGAGACTTTAAGAAAAGCAACTTGTGAGGAGGTCTGAGAAATCTGGGGGACACCCAAGCAAAATTTCCAATATGCTGATCTGGTTTTCAGAAGCCTTCAACAGAGCCTCAGGTACATGGTTACACACAAAATAAAACCATGGAGATGCCTTAAAAGAGCTCCAAAGGGACACAGCAGTGAAATACACTCTAAGAGACTCTAAATATTACAACATCAGCTGTACCTGTCCCTACAGTCAGCTGGCATCAGGAGCAAGGAGCAAACCCACTGTGGGATGGACTCTCAGACCAGCAGGCAAACATGTAGCTGCACTCTGCACAGGTCCCATGTGCTGCTGCGACTGGTCCTGGAGCCCTGTCTGCACTGATCAGAGGCAGCAAGTGGCATGACCCCAAGGGCATGTACTGCTCGTGTCAGGTTGTTCCTGAATAAGTCAGGACACTTTCTAAAACACGGAAAAACCTGAGCTTGGACAAGGCCACCTTCTTGGTTATGTCATATCAGACAAATGACTTTTAATGCAAACCAGCTCCACATAGGTGAGCTTCAGAGTCAGCTTAGTAACTTATAATAACACGGTTGTTCATCTGTTATGCAAATGAAAGGGGCGATTTCAAATTCACAAACCATATCCTAAAGAAAAGGTCAGTCAGGAGAAACTATGGCAAGATGAGCAAAATGTTATTAGGAAGACGTGACAGGGCAGTGAAAATGAAGCCGAAGAGATGAGGGTGCCCAAAAGAGAGGGCTTGCAAGTGGGTTGGCCGTTCATTACTGCACTAGTGCATCAGGAGTGGTGGCAATTTCCCCTCTGGGGGCACTGACAATGGGCTTCCACCTATCTGCAGTGCTTTGAACTGCATCTCAATGAAAACAAATCAGACTAAGTGAATGACTGAGGCAATAATACAAAACTGACACCAGTCCTCACAGCTACACAGAACTAATCACTTTGCAGAACGCCAACATATGCTGAAAAGCAAAAGCAGAATAGTTAATATATTTCAGATACCATAGAAGATCTAGAATCGCATATGCACTAGCCCTGACATTTCCACAAATTGTAAGTAATCACTGCATGAAAGATATGGTTACTTTGAATACAAGAAATTATATTTGGTTTTAGGAAAATTCTATGAGTTTAGGTAACCAGTTTTATTCCTCTGATGTTCAGTCTCATGGACTAAAAATAGAGATGAATATGTTCCCAGTTTACCTAATATGATGTATATGAAATGTATAACACGGTATATATTATTCAAATGTGAAGATACCTAAAAATAATAACTAACATTTGCTGAGAGCTTATTGTGTGCTAGGCACTCTGCTAAGTGATCATATGCATTATTTAGTTCTCACAACCCCATGCAATGGGTTATTCCATGAATGAAGTAGCATTTTGACAGGGGAGGGTAAGTATTGAGCAGAAGACCCTTAGTGCACATATAGTGTGGTGAGACGTGACAGATGACAGGACTCTTGGGAAAAGATCCTTCCTGTGGTCAAACGATGCAGCAGGACGTAGCTTGGAAGGTAGGAAGAGAGACGGTGAATGCGAAGAGAGGTAAACTCTCCTTTTTTGTGGAAAATCCTTGGGGAACCCAGACAGCCCAGCAGAGCTGGCTCTGCTAAGGGCAGGAAAGCAGGATAATCAGGGATCTGAGAATGAAACAGGAAGGCCTATGTGGCCTCTACCGAACCCGCCAGGAACGATTCCTCACCCTCAGCCATTACAGGCTGCTTGGAGAAGGAGGCTTGCTGCTGCCTTCCAAACACCGCCGTCAGGTTCAGCACACCGGCACCAGTCGAGGGTTGGAATGTTTGTGGTATTTAGTTGTTACCAGAAGTGCTGGAAGGGGCCTCCTGGAGATTATGTGGGACATCCTTGAAACTCCTCAGGGGGAACTGGGCCAAGGGACTCAAGCCTGAGGGAACACTGGTCTTGTTTTCTCAAATTTTTAAGGAAAACCAAGATTTCAAGTAAAAATTCACCACAGATATGGGTGTGAACTGTCTGAAATCAAAGGTCTCATCTCTGACTGGACCATAAACACTGCCTAAAGTCAACTTAATCCAAATGCAACTAGATTGAGGGGGCACAAAGTGATAGAGGACTTCTGTGGCATTTAAAACCCACATTTGTTGTGGGTGAACGATTTATTTCACTTTTGTCCTCTGCCCCTCAGTAAGGATCCGAATAAGCTCATTTTCTCAGGTCCCACGCTCTAGTTATCCCCCACCCCCGAGAACAGCCTCTGGTTTCTTTTGAAGTTGATGAAAAAGGCTTCTTCATGAAGTTCTGACACAGCCCGGGCCTTTTCTTGAGTTTTCAATATTTATTTGTCTTTTTCCTCATAAAAAAACTGTACTAATGGCTTTGGGCTTCATAAGAATGTACATGATAATAAACAGGATATGCTATAAATAGCACTGACATTCCAACTATGTCTAACAGAATTCTCTCCCCACGTGCCTGGCACCACGGTCTGCAGATTCCAGTGTCACCGGACAGGCTATCGAGGTGATTCCAGAGGCAAGTGCCTTCCACACAGATTTACTGCAAAACAGCACCAGAGACTACCAAAATGCTGTGTGCCCTCTAAAAAACCCTAGTATTTCAAAGGCCTTAGGGTATATCACCACAAACTGGACCTTTGCCCAATAAAGCAAACTTTCCTTCCGCTTCAGTCTCCCCTCATGCCCCGCCCCCCCGCCCCAGCCACATCCGGGCTTTTCCTTCAGCAAGCCCTTCTCCATGGGAGCGCTATCTACTCTGGTCCGTGGAAAACTGAGGGGAGACTGCTTTATGTTTTCAGGTCATTCTGACACTTGTCTCAGTTTCACTTTGTTTTCAGTTTCTGCTCTTAGATCAGAAGACTCAATACTAGTGTGGACGATACCTACAGTATCTTAAACTCTTTATTCTTTATTTTCCACCTCCATCAAATCCTTGTGTCTTTGGAAATCTACACTTTGTTCCTCTTGGGTCTCCTGATCCAAAACTGGAACCCGTTCTGTAAGCCAGGCTTACTCTGTCTCTCGGCCTCTGACTTCCTGTTTCCCTGTTAGGCTGGTTAGTAGGCCTCACAAAGGCCTAAGTGATAACTGCTTATTACCTTGTATCCTTACAGTATGTCCTAAGCATGCAACAGGTAGAAGGATCCTGGGCTGAAGGTCGCGGATAATGGTAGGTGATAAATACCAGACAGAAGGGCAGAAGGCTTGGGCACATGTCTGGAAGCTAATGGACCTTCGGTAGTTTTTACATCCAGTATAATTCTCGTGTTAGTGGTACCAGGAAGAGGAAGGGAAGGATTATGGACCATGAAAGCTGTTACACCACAGCCAGAGGTGAGCAACAGAGGGATGCAGACTGGATGTCCGTAGGAGGGCATAGGCCTGGAAGGGGCTTAGGTTATTTACTTGGTATGGATGGGAAGGGTGCTCTCTAAAGGCCAGACAATGCAGTAACCTTGGTTACACATGGCGCATCTTCTGTTCCCTCAGCATTAATGTTTGTTATCCTTCTCCAAGGTTTCCTTTACTCTACCATTATCACCTTAATCAGCCTCAAATGACAATTTAAATCGTGTTATTCCCCCCCTGTAAAATTTCACCTACCCACATGCCTTTGTTAATACTTAAGACTTACTGAAAATTTAACCTCTCCAGTCTTATTTTTATTTCCATTCATCACTGGGTTTCCAAACTCTTTCCTCTTTCTTTTTTTTCCCCAAACCAGTGATGACTTTTGCTCTTCCTCATACACCATGTGTCTAGTAATCTTGCCTTCTACACTGCCTTTAGGCAATAGGTCATTTTTGATCTTTAAATTGAAGACATGCCTAGCAGGTAACTAGAGCTTCAGATCAACAGGAGAAAGTCAAGCTTACTAAGCATAATAAGCTAATTTCACTCAAAGCAAATAATATTAGAGTCTCAGACTGTGCATTCTTATGGAGAATGGTGGGAGTGATAAATACGATGGCAGTTTTCTGAAATGCTGAAACTAGTTTAGGCACCCCTACTTCCCAACATTTTTCAGACCACCAGGAGGTCAGATCCTGAACGAACTTTTCAGTCATTTTTACTCCCCTTCCCTTTGTGAATTCTACCCTCCCCTTAAAGAGCAGTTGAAATTCTGCTTTCTCCTGGGTTCCTCTGCCTCAGTCCAGAGTGACCTACTGGTTTTAGGTGTCTACTTTTTGTCACATTAATTTGTACAGTTCTAGCTCTTGGGTTTTTTGCTCTACTTATGTATTCTTTCTAAATTGGATTTTAAACTCCCTGAACACAGAGAAAAAATTAAGTTAAAATATTTCTTGAGCCGGGTATGGTGGCATACATCTGTAATCTCAGCACTCAGGAGGCTGAGGCAGGAGGCTACCCTGGACTACATAGTGAGTTCAAGGCCAACCTACACTACATAGTAAGACCTTGATTCAACCCCTCCTAAATTTTTTTTCTTTATTCCTTCCTGCCTATACATAGAACCTTGAATAATGCCTTGTTCAGTAAATATTTGCCAATTGTAAATGCTGATCACTCTTTTTTAAAATCACAAAAAAGGATTGAAATTATTTTGGTCAAACAATATCCAGCACATTCTCACCTACCTGGCCAGCAAGTCAATAAGTTCAAGTTTTGACATCCCATCAGGAAGTAGCCGAGGAATAGCAGCAACACAGGTCCTGAAAAGATCTATTTTTGGCTTTCTCTCACCCCTAGAATTTGAAGACAGATTTTAAACATAGGTCAAATCATTGAGAAAAAAATTTTAAAAATCATTAAATACATGGCCAAAGACTAGAAATTGATCCATGTCTTCTGAATCACAATCCAGTGTTCATGGCTTTTACAGGTTGAGTGGTTCTAAGGAAATAATTTAAAAATTTAAATGTTAAGACAGAGCTATGTATTTCTGAAATTCTGATATCAGTAGCTTTTTACCATAGGCTTGCCATTCGGTTGGGTTCTGTGGTATTTGGTTCCTGTGAATTGCAATTAAAACACCAGAACCACAGAAATGTCAAAATGTATCAGCATGAAGAAAGACGTTAAAAGTCATCCCTACATTCAGTCTTAAGAGATAGGATTTATTCTGTGATACTTGGGATTGAACCAGGGCTTTCCCATTGAGCTAGATTTTACTATGCATAAGGAATGGTACCTTTTACCAGTGTGAGACCTGGAAACTTTTCTCCCTGATAAGTTAGCTTTTTCCTTTAGAGCAACGGTGGCAAACCTATGGCATATATTATTTGTTTTTCAGACGTTTTTCAGACAAAAGATGCTAATGTATGAGTTGTTTTTTCTAAACTAAAGCCTCAGTATTCAGGTTTAATTGCAATGAGGCACTTTGTAATAAATAAGTAGGTGTTAGGTTGAAGTTTGGGCACTTGTCTCTAAAAGGTTCGCCATCACTGCCCTAGCGCCTCTAGCTTTCTTATTAAAAATTAAGTACTCTGTAGTGACAAGCAAAATCCTGAAATTCTGACTGTTAAAATTACACTGATCTCTATGGAGAATCCTTCTCTCTTGTTACGTTCCACAGAATACTAATGTTCAATGGTAATAATGCCTTCTACGTTGTTGGGAAATGTAAAGGAAAAATGTATTCTGTCAGTGCTCTGTATCCACGGATAAAACCAACTGTGGATTTAAAATATTCTGAGGGGAAAATGTGTATGGATTGGACATGTACAGATTTTTTCCCTTGCCATTATTTCCTTAAAGAAACAGTATGACAACTATTTGTGTAGTATTTACAATGCACTAGGTATTATAAGTAATCACAGGATGATTCAGAAAATAAGAGAGGATGCATAGAAGCTGTATGGAACTACTACGCAATTTTATATCAGGGATTTGAATAATCTTGAATTTTGGTATCTGCAGGCAAGTGTGGCATCCTGGAAATAATCCCCTGGGTTATTTCCCAGGGGATAACTGTATTTTGTGACGTTACTTCAAGTTTAGTTGTTTTAGTAGGTGACTGAAACAAAACACAACTTATTGTACCAAAAACCTTTATGAAAGAATTAAACTATCCATTACATCTTTCAAATGACCTAAATGAAAATACCAAGCTGCATATCTAAATACTGGTGACTTAGTTTTCTGTGAATAAATATATGATTGGTACTAAATGCAATTGTAGGACACAGACACAATGAAAATACAAAGTGGCACAGAAGTAATCTCTTCTGGGAAACAAACTGGTCAGAATAGAAATTCAACAAATAGAATCTATTCTCTCTATAATTTAATGATCGTAATAAAACAGCACTCTTGCTCTGTGACATTGTTTTCTAGCACGGTTTTGTAAGTTTGTTAAGAATGAATACAAACCTGTTCATACGAAGAAAAAAACACATATATATTGACTTCTAAAATACTCTGCCTTTGCAGAAACCTTAAGATTATTTCTTGTCCTTTCCCATGGACCTGCTGAATAAGCTTTTTGTGAATTCCAGCGAGGAAGCCATGGCACAGTAGTCTCCAATGAGCCGAAGGAGAGATGTATTCAATGACACCTTCAATAGCTGCACAGACTTACAGCCTGGCGATTGCTAATTGCTTATGTGTAACAGCGAGGCATTTAACTGTTCTCCTAGCTTGCTCACCAGATGTTTTAAACAGCTGTGATTATTTTCTTATCTGTCGGAAAACAGATGACCCTGGCTAGCTTAAAGTTAAGGCAAACTCTGCCAGACTTTTAAGATGATAAAGTGAGCCTAGATTAGAGACTAATTGGTATGTAATTTCCTCTTAGAATTGCAGTCTTCGCTCTCTATGCTTTTATGGGGAGCATGTGACTCCTTAAATTAACATTAATTTTTAAAATTTATTAACATGTTAAAATTATGATATTCTTTCTCCCTCCCCGCCTCATTAGCCACAAGAGAAACGAGGAGTGGAGTTTTAGCCACACAGAAGACTTAATGTTCAAGTTCAGATTCTAAGTAGGGCCTGGGAGAGTGCGGCACCAACCTCAAATACCAGTGCAGACGACCGTTCCCACTAGTGTCTGTGGCCTCCACCCTCTTCTCCTAAATGCTTATATGATTCCCTAATATTTATCTTGTTTTTTTAAAGCAAGGAAGCAACGGGTTATTTTCCACTCAGGGATATGCCTTCAAGTCTAGCAGGAAAAATATTTTAGCCTTATTTGGGGGTCTGAAAATGGGTGAGCTGGAAAAAATAAAGACGAATTTTATTTAAAAAAGTACAAGGCATTAATCAAAACATAAGTAGGCTATTTTTATATTTAACCTTGCATCTTTTGTATATATTATTTTAGTTCTAAACCTATCTTATGGATGTTTACTGGTTATAATTGTCTCTTAAAACTTTCATTGCTTTACTGTTTTTAGAGGATAAAACTATATGACAGAATTTTAAAAGCATTTCTCATGTCTTCTACATTATAAATGAAAAATGGTTTAATATATTCAAGGAGAATAGAATACCATGGGTAAATGTTTATTGACAATCTGGCAACTTCTGAGTTGAGAACTAAAGCCATAATGATATCTTTGATGTTAATAATCTTGGTTAATCTCAACTCAGTTACTTTGGTTGAAGAGTCGGAAGTGACTTAAGTCAAATGGCTGGCAACCTGCAGGATAGTATGTGTTATATAATCCCATTTTTGGAAAAAAACAGAAAAAGTTCGGATGGCCCTAGACTTAGGATATTTTGAGTTTGCCATGGTATAAAAGCAACTTGCTTTCTGTAGAAAATGCTCAGATCCTGAACTTAGATATTTTCCAGACTACTGACATATGACCCCCACCCCTCTGGTGATAGTGGGCAGTGACTACAGTTCCCAGTCAGCCCACTGATCACGGGGCCAAACTGGACACTGTGCAGTATGCTGTGTTGCATGTTGTGTTGCTGAGCTGGGGTGTGCATTACATTAGGGGCACATGCATGTTCAATTTATGTTGGGGTAATTGGGATGTGATCCCATCACTGGTAGTAGGAATATGTGTTTACATATTTTATACTGACAGAAGAAGTTTGGAATGAACCATATAAAGTCAAGGAATGGTCACAGATCTTAAGTGGGGATTTGAGGAGATGGTTTTTATTTCAGTTCATTAAAATCATTTTTCTCTTTTTTTTTGGATCTTGTGATGGAGACCACTATGAATTGACTCTGAGCAGGATTTAAAATTAACCAACTGCCTTTCTGTGTTTACTTGTCAGTCTGTCCAAGACCTAGGCCCCTTGTCTGGAGATGGGCAGCAGATTTGTAGTAAGTGAACCTATATGAACCACTGGTCCCGGCTGAGGCCTAAAGAGGCCTGTGATGCCCTAATGCCTCAAAGGACAAGATAAGGACACAGCAGGGGATGTCTGGCTCCAATCACAATTAACTAAAAGGAGAATGCAGCTGCAGGCTCCACACTCCTACAATAAATGTCAACCTAGAGATAAGGTCGTTCTCCTGATTGACATAATTTACTACTTGGGAAAGTCTCTGAACTGATTCCCAAGGTCCTGCTCAGATTCCCACGCTTTCCTCAGTACTCCCCTCCTTTGTTTGAAAATCGAATAAATAGGGGCCACCCGGAGAAGTTCTTTGTCTCACCTCCCAGAGAATCTCAAATTTTGTTAGAGGATTTTGATCCTCCTGGAGCCCTAAAATCATACCACTTGTCTCTTTTATTTAAGCCTTCACTGTCCACACATTTGGGAGACTCCAGGCCTGATCAGTCTGTGATAGCTCCTCTAGTTCAGGCTAGATTTGAACTAACTACAATGCCCAGGTTGGCCATGAACTTGTAACTATCCTCCTGCTTTGGTTTCTGAACAGCTGGTATTACACTTTCTTAAAATCTATGACACAGTTGCGCAGACACTATTAAGCAAAAACTGTCACTAGAAACCAGTGGCCTTGAGAGTTATAAAGATAGAATGTCTATAAATTGGGGACGTCACTTTATCACATGAGTTGTGATAGTTTACAAACTCACTGTCACATCTGAAAAAGGTACGTGGACTACTACATGAGTTTTGGGCCCTGTTTTCTAACTGACTGGCCTAAGGACACTTGAGAACCAAAGCAGATCAACCTCTGGTTTGACCTTATTTGTACAGCTACTCAAATAACGTCCAAGTATTTTTTCACTATCTTTAACACTTAACACTTCTCAGACTTCTGGTTTTAAGAAGATAAGACAAAGCAAAATACAGAATAAACGGGAAGAACCAATGAGAAGAACCCCTCCCTCTGCCTACTGGGCCACTGTTAATGAACCTCAGTATACTCACGTGATCATGTCTTCGGGTTCTTTGTTTAACATCTGGACGTTAGTTAGCATCATACAGCGTCCTACTTCTTTATCAAGGTGCCTTAAAATGTTGTCCACAGCTTTTCTTACTTGAGAGTAATATAAGGACATGCCTGAAAAACATATATTTACATCTTTGACTAAATCTACTAAAGAATATCGTGATTTATTTATTCTCTCTAACATATTTTACTAAGGACCTTATGAGTCAATGATTCCCTTGAACAGAGGAGCTGCGTGTTATTCAGTCTCTCACTAGATGGCTCTTGGCACGGTGCCCTGCACTCAGCAGGTGTTCACCGATTAATCATTTAAATCACATTACTAAGAATTCTAATACTTCAATGGGAAATATTTTACAGAACCATTAAAATAGGGAAGTAGCTTGTTTTGCATCTTTAAGATTTTTGTTAACAAGAAAACCCACTATCATTAGCGATTATATGAATAAAAGAAAATTCTCATTTTGGGTTAAGACTTTAACAACTTCAAATTATTCTTTGAAATAGACATACATCCTTTCATTAATAAATAAAATGACTTCACGTCACAAATTTTAAAATGAAAGAAAATGCATTTTAGTTACACTATTTTTATTGCTTTCATTAAATAGTGTTAATGCCCTAAAATGGAAGACAAATGTATGCAGCATATACATTTCATATATTATATATATTTAAGCCAAAAGTAAATACCTTTAAAACACAGTGAAGTAAATTTATTAATAATTATTTCCCAGCACCTCTTTTGAGGCCTATATTTTATTTTCTGTGAGCGTGTACTTTAAATTCTGCCTAATGCATCTTTTGTGCCTCTTACTGATGTGTCCTGAAATTTCTTTTTCTGTGGTAGAAGTCAGTGAAACTGCAGCCTGACCCATGGGTGGGGTAATTAAGGTTCCCTGTCTCTGCTTTGGGGACCTTCTTGGACCCTGTCCAGGGATATTTCCTTTGGTAGGCCAGCTCCAGGAGGTAAAGAGGCAGTGGGACTGTGACTTTGGAATATGACTTCTAAGCAACAACCTAAACGGTATGTGAAGATGGTAGGTCATCAATTTTGCATGCTTATACCTGGTAATCAGAAAAACTAATTTGAAGACAATAATATGCAATGTAACAACCACTGCTGAATTCCTAGTGTCTTGTTTAATGAAGCTCTGTATTGTTTGTAATGTTTTCTTTTTTATTACCTGTTATTGTCTTTAATTGTTTGATCAATCTTGTATTCGTACATGTGGCAATCTGAGCAACCTTGTTGAAGATAACAACATGTAATATAACAACCATTGTTAATTGCTATCATTTTGTTTTTAAATCCTGTATTGAGTCTACTGTTTTTTAAATTGTTTTGTTTGTGTCTTCATTGTTGTTGTTGTTGTTTTTCTTTAAAAGTAAAAAAAAAAAAAAAACAAAAAGATGGTAGAGCATCACCTACATGACAGATAGAATATAACACTGACTCCTAATGCTAACATTGATCGTTAATGGAAGAAGTAGCTGTTTTCTGGTTGTACTTTATATTTCAAAGTGCCTGATACTCAGAAAGGAATATAAAAAGATTAAGACCTACTGCTCTCATTTCAAAACCTGTGTAACTGACCTTCTGGGTGTGCAACAGCCCAGGCTTAGCGACTAAAGCTAAAGGAGATGAAAGGGCTAAGAGGACAGTCAATTTTTGCTCTTGTCCTTCAAGGTCAGCCAGGACTCTAGGAATGACAGGAGGTCTCTGAAAGGTCCCTGAAACCATGAATCACCAACTCCCCAAGCAGGGGGACTGTTGGACCCCAGAGGTCTGAAGTCAACCACTGTGGATTTTTCAAAAAGAAGAGTCACCACGGGGGGCGGTGGGCATGCTTTCAAGGAAAGCCATATGGTCAAGCAGGATCATGATTTATCCTGAAAAATGACACAGTGGTAGCAAGAAAAGCTGGAAGAGCTAAGGGGTTCCTCACATAGCTGAAAAAATTCCTTAGGGGCCTTAACTGACCCTGACAAATACAGGTACATGGATTAATTTTGATTGCCATGGGTCTTTCTTTGACTTGGTCTTAACCACCCAGCAGGAAAATATAACTAAAAAAAAAAAAGCAATAATTACTAGTGACATGAAAGAGAAAGTTATGCTAGACATAAAAAGGGACTCCAAACACTGCACCCTAGCCTTATGGAGGAGTCTCCAGCTACACCTATAATGTTCTAACCTACAGCCATAAGAGGTCATGATTCCCAGTCCTACTAGCTCTTCCAAAAATGTGTCCTTCAGCCTATTTTAGTGTACTGCTATTATATTATTTTAATGCACTTTCAAGTACCCTTCGGGGGAAGATTTGGCTTTGTGTATAGGTTTCCCTATAGTATAAGAATGCCAACAGAAATAATCTAGTGACTAATAGTCTAGTGACTAATTCTGTTAGTCTAGTGACTAACAGAAATAATCTAGAAATAATCTAGTGACTTTGTTACTTTTATGGTATGAGCTAATTTTCTGTTATTTACTCCAGACTTTATTATCTGAAGCTGGCCACTACCAAAGGTCTACACTTCTATAAACAGAAGCCAGATCCAGGTTCCAAGCCTGATAGTAACAGTTTTAATGGCCCTTTATTTAGTGTATTTTTTGGCCACTGCTACAATTAAAGCAGGAGGACACTGGATTCCATATTGATGAAACAGGGAGGACTCTGTATGCTCTTACCTCCCTGCCCTGCTGCTATACTTGGGTTGACATTGCTGGACAAATAGAAGTTAATATTGGGGCTGGGGATTTAGCTCAGTGGCACAGTGCTTGCCTGGCAAGCACAAGGTCATGAGTTCAATTCCTGGTACCGGAAAAAAACAAAACAAGTTAATATTAAAGATGAAAGGATTATGTCAAACGCCACCTAATTTTGTATGACTTCTACAACTCTCGGAGCTACTATTCACTGATATTTTGCTTTTAATTTTTAGCCCTGTTTATTTAATACTGTTACAACATGAGGTTAAAAGCTCTATCACTGGCTAATGTTCTTGTCCTTTTTTTCAAGCTATAAAGGATGATGGGTAATCCAACAGCAAAACCCATCTTTCCTTTGTCTCCTTTAGATTAGTCAGAATGAGACTTTTGATCCATGCCTAGGTAGGGTCAGTTTCTACCCTGAGCCCAACCAGCTACATATTTTGTATGCCTCTTTACCCCTTAAGAATAAGGGAACAAATATGAAGGTGGGAGGGTAAGATAGGACAGAAGAAATAAACACAAGTAAAAAGGACACATAGATAATTGTAGTTGTTTTTGGTCTTTTTTTCCCATTTTATTTGTACATGTTTGTAATTCCTGCCAGAAAAAATCAGTTTAAAACTTTGTTAGTTTTCTTGAGATAGTATCTTGCTAAGTCCTTCAAGCTGGCCTTGAACTTACCGTAAGTCTTGTGCCTCTGCCTCCTAGTGCTGGCATTGCAGGTATGTGCTACCATGCCTAGCTTTTTAAAAAAAATTTATTTAGGTCTTAATTTTTTTTTGTAAAATTGCTATTAGTATATTTTTACACATATGATTACACCCATGGTGAGTTGGTACACATACTTAATACATCTTAATTCTTTTTCTTTTCCCCCTCCTTGCCCTCCCTTCATCTCTTTCTTTAAGGTATTTTAAGTCCATAAATTAGCTTAGTAGATAAGTTAAAGGGCAGAAATCTGACCTTAAAAAACACAATGGGATGGGCCCCTAATTTTCACCTGTAAAATGAGCCATTATCCTTCTATCTGTGTGGGCCGTCACTTTTCTCCTGGAAACCAAGCCCAAACTTTTTACAGAGTCCCAAATGCCACAGATTTTCACCATGAAAAATGCATGAATATTCCTAGCCTCAGACTTTGATACGTCTCTCTTCTGGGGGCCTGTACTCGATTTTCATTGAGATTGTACTTTAAATTCTTCCTAATAAACCTTTTTATGTCTCAAGAAATTATTGTTCATACATTAAGTTTTCCGAACACACTTAAGATAAATATTTTAGGGTACATAGCTCCCACATGTGTTTCCCATAGGTAGTCCTCAAGATAGTCTGAGAACTATATTACCAAAATTTGCAGTAGGTTTCTAATCTTGGGTACTTAATAAGAAACAAGTGCATTATGTTGCTAAGTTAAAAAGAAAAAAAAACCACTCAGGTGGATAGTTTCACAGTGTAACCCGGTGTTTTATGGGTGGACGCATGCTTAAAATATAAATTACAATCAATGTTATTGAAAAAAAAGGAAATACACTATAAATGTGAATGAATAAATGAGCTAAGTGTGAACAAGAGTTTTTACCAAAGCACACAGCTATCTTATGAATTTACTGTAAAATTTAGATAATCACTAACCAAGGGTTGAAAAGATCCAAATAAAAGTCTAACATTTAAATGGCAAAATATTTCCAGGAAGTTCAAAAGAAGTTTAAAGGGCAGTAAGACATAAACACAGCTTGAATCAATCAACCCAATTAACACTACTTTTACAAAAGTAGTAGTGACTACTTTTACAAAATTAAAAAAAAAATCTCATTAGAAGTAAGTATCTAATGGCGATTTTATTGTATTTTTTTTTGTTTTTTCTCCAGTACCGGGAACCGAACTCACGACCTTGCGCTTGCCAGGCAGGCGCTTTGCCGCTGAGCTAAATCCCCAGCCCTCTAATGGCGATTTTAAAGGCTTCATGTTCAGCTATAACACACTTGAAACCCACCTATCATTTTGGCTTCCTCTTCAGTTAACGTTTTACTCAAATATGTTTTCTTTACTCTCAACGTGTTTCCAGAAGGGAGTACAGCTCCTGTCACCGGCATGGGAGGTTCACCATCCTTCTGCTGCAAGCTATCAGCTATGACCAAGAATGCCCTCAAACCAATGTTCATTCTCTGTAAGAGGCAATGTGTAGACAATAAAAAGAACCAATTATTACACAGTTAAACCACAAGTGTATCAGAGAAGCTAAGCCTGGCTTGCTTTTAGATCAATGTGGAAAAATAATTTAGAAGACACAGAAGCGTTGGCCTAACTTAGGAAAATAAACTTTCTAGCACTGTTGCTGTATCACAAGCAAACAACTGGGAAGATTTTCATCAAACTTGGAGGGCCTGGTTATTCAGATGGTCACAAGCCATACTCTCTGTTCAGGGGATGCTGGGATGTCAAAGGGAGAGACGTCATCCTGTGGAGAGCTATAACTAAGGTAAACTCAGGTAGATGAAAGACTCTGATGTCTCCCGGAAGGGGAGAAACCCAGGTGTGTTAATTCACAAGACTGAGTGAAAATATTCAGGGTTCTAAATGTGAACCCACACACTGAACATCACCTACTCTGAAGTGCAGTTCTCGACTTCAGATTCACAAATGCCAGAGAACTGGAGAATGCATTTGAAAAATTCAATGTTACAGAACCTATTACTGATGAAAGTTTATGGATATAGGAGAAGAAATGCCATCCTGGGCCCAATTGCTCCTCCGGCTCAGGTAAGACACGAGACACCGGCTCTGAAAAATGACCTAACAAGGCACTCTTCTCAGTGCACCCGCACTAGGAAAATGTAAAGTTCCCGCTGGTCTGCATCCTCCCTAGCACTCTTACCGTAGTTTTTATCTCACATTTTCCTAATGACTAAGGTTCATGAACGTCTTTTCATGGGCTTACTACTCATTTTTATTTCTTTTCTAATAGAGAGGTGGTTAGCCCCTTTTAAAACATGGGTTATTTCCTTATTTTTGAGTTCTAGGAGTTTTTAAATATATTTTGGGTAGAAGTACTTTATCAGATACACTACGTTTCTTGCAAATGTTTTCTCCCAACCTGTTAACTCTCCACACTAAAGTGCAGACATTTTATTTTGATGGTGCTTGATTCATGCACTTCTTTTTAAAATGTATAATTTTTATGTCCTAGAAAATTTTGCCCAACTGAATGAGCTACCTTTTTGGGCCTATTGATTGTTTTTTTTTTTTTTTTCTGAGACAGGGTTTTGTTAAGTAGTTAAGTTGCCCCATTTAGGGTTGAATTTGCCATCTTTTTGCCTCTGCTTCTCAGGGTGCTGGGATTATGGGCATGCTCCATCATGCCTAGCTTATCATTTTTCAAAGAATGATAGTGTTGGGTTTCTGTTCCATTGATCCTCAGGTCTATTTTTATGCCCGTACCATGCTGTTTCTACCACAGTAGTTTTGTAGTATAACTTCAAGTCAGGGATTGTGATGACCCTGCCTTGCCTTTGTTACCCAGAATTGTTTTTGCTATTCTAGGTCTCTTCTGGTTCCAAATGAATTTTAGAAATGTTTTCTCTAGTTCTATGAAGTATGCTAATGGTGTTTTATTACTTGAGATTGCATTAAATCCGTATAACAATTTTGAAAGTTCAGAGTACTGTAGTTTTCAGTGTAGAGGTCTTTTACTTCTTTTTTCCAAGGTATTTCACTTTTTTGGATGCTGTTGTTTCCCTAATTTCTCTCTCAGTGTTTGTTACTCATGTACAGGAATGAAACTGATTTTTGAGTTTTGACTTTGTATCCAGCTATGCTACTGAATTTGGTTATTAAATCTAGATGTCTTTTGGTAGAGTTTTGGGAGCCTTCTATGTAGAGTATCATGTCATCTGCAAATAACAATTTTTCTTCCTTTCCTCTCCTTATTCCTTTTCTTTTTTCTCTTGTCTAACTGCTCTGGCTAATGTTTCCAGAACTATTTTGAATATGATGACAGTGGACATCCTTGTCTTGTTTCTGGTTTTAGAGTAAAAGTTTTCAGTTTTTGTCCATTTAGTATGAGTTTGGTGGTTGGTTTGTCATAGATGGCTTTTATCAGATTGAGATAAAGACTATCTATTCCAAATTTCTGTAGTTTTTTTTTTTTTTATCATGAATAGGTGTTGGACTTTATCAGATTTTTTTTCTGTATCTAGCTCAGCGGCACAGTGTCTGCCTGGCAAGTGCAAAGTCGTGAGTTTGATTCCTGGTACCAAAAAAAAAAAAAAAAAAAAATCCAGATATTAAAACAGAAACACTAAATCTGTTGGCCTTGAACTCACTATGTAGCCTGGGCTCTTCTCAAACTTTGGTGACCCTCCTGCCTCAGTCTCCTCAGTGCCGCAATCACAGGTGTGTGACACCACACCTGGCCAGTTCCATATTGTTTTAGACCAAGTCAAAAATTAGAAAAATTGATGATCTAGAAGTTCTTCTCACACGTAAACAAGTTCTCATGATGATACAGAAAGTCATCTAGGGCCAAACTAAGCCAAGACAATTACTTGGAAATTACCTAACTGTTGAATAGTGGTACAATCCACTTTGCATAAGATAAGCCCTTAGATTTCTAGGCCTTGCTCCATGAGCTATTTCCAAAATATTACTTATGACCTACTTTAGATTTGTTTCCTGAGAAACGGTGTCCTGTATCATATTTCATCAAGTGTATGGTATCTGCTCCATAGGCTAGTCTGCCTTGCATCTTCTTTTGAACATGTCTTTGGACATACAATTATTAACTACTAATAAATAGCTTATTCTTCAACCCTGTAAAATCAAGAGACATAAACGCAACTTCCACATATTTACCCCTGCTGATAGTTTTGTTTTTAAAGCATAATTCCAATGGATCTTCATTGAGAAATTAACTAATTCATCACTGACAGAGTTTGAAGAAAGACTCAAGAATAAATTTTACGGATGGCGATTATAATGAATAGTAGTTTTTAGCATGTTCCTTTTAGATAAGTAGCCCAGCAGTTCTGAGAACAGATTGTTAAAGCATCAGAACTACGACTACTGAGAAATGACAAGTATGTTTAAAACCTTCAAAGCAAGAGAAGACTGTTTCCTGAGCAGCCCTGGCCTCCTTCCTGCTTTACACTGGCTTTGCAAAGCCCTTCACTTTGTCCCGGCAACTGCCGCCATCCTGAACCCTGCAAGGTCATTAACCACCAGACAGAACTCCCATCACGGGACCCCGGGGCCCCGTGTTCTGTTGTCAGGCATGTGGCACCTTCGCATCAAGAAGAGAATTCAGGGTACGATAGGAGAGGGGCATGGGGATACCCCGGTCCCTCTGGAATCAGCAGTCTTCCTATGTTGAATCTCTGGGCTCAGGGCCTTCTTCCTCACTGAGAGAATGAAGGAGCCAAAGAATATCACAGTGGCGTTAGAAATAATCTTAAATTTTGTTATGGTACGCAATTTCCTTCCTTCTTTCTCACCATCTTCTTTTCCTCTGGCTCTCTCCCTAGTTTGAAATGTATTCTTTCCAGTATCACTCTTCCATGAAGTGAGCTAGAACAGTATTTTGTCCTATTTTATCAGAGAATAGGTCGAATTTCAGAGAAGTAAATGTCACATAGCTAGAAAAAAAGTATCAGGGCAAGTGGCAAATCCAGCTCTGCCAGCTTCTGGTCCAGTGTTCTCGCTCCCATCTCAGAGGAAAAGGACAGCAGACAGGAGGCTTGCTAGGGCTATTTTTGTTGGCTAACAGTGTTTTTAAAAGTTTAAAACTGAATATCCTGTTCATTTGCATAAGCCTGACTACTCCATATTGTCTATAATAGTCATGATAGATTCACTGCCACCAGATGCCTGGCCCCTGAGTTGGCATGCTGTTACAGAAACATGTTCAGACATTATTTAGTTTCACTATGTTCTGGTATTTTTATTATTATATGTACTTATTCTCTGTCGCATCACTTTCCAATACTAGTTGATCTGCCTTAATGCAGTTACACATAAAAGCAATTACTTCCCAAAATAAAATAACCTAACTAGTAGCAACAGATTATCTTTTGGGGTGAGGATTACTCTATTACACAAAAACAATAAAGAAGTACTCAACCTTTCATAACTCAATCTATTGATCCAAAATTTACTTCTGAAACTCCATCACTGGACTTTAGACATGGATAGAAATAAATAGAAGACCTTTGAAAGAAGTTGTCCCTGGGCCTGTTCCCCAAAATTGCATAGCAGAGGTACGGCTCTGTGAATACATGCTCTGTTAGCAGGACATAAAAGGGTCATTCATACCTCTGGATTCAGACTGAAAGCTTTGGCTGGTTTTCCTACACAAAGAAAATCAAAAATGATTTCTTTCATTGCAAAATCTAAACGTTCCTGGAGGGGAGAAAAGAAAAAAGGAAACAAAACAGAAATGTTAAAACACAAATTCAACATGAGATGCATATTTAGATCACGTGTGCCAAACAGAGAAAGAGAAGAGGTACTGCTTAGTTTTACAGACTAGAGAGAGTTCCTGAGGGACAAACATACCATTTAAAAAAAAAACACTTGGCAGAACCGCTTATGTTTTTGTATGTAGTACAAGAATGGCTTCATTATGTAAGAGACACAATTAGCTCCAAAAGTACAGAGGGACCCATGGCACAAAGACCCCCCCCAAAACAAGACCCCAAAACCCAAAACAAACAAACAAACAAACAAAAACACTGCCCAAAACAAAAAGCCCCAAACACTTGGCCGCCTGAGCTTAGACGCAGTCCACATTCTTCTACTTTTGGTAACGCTGCTAACTTCTTGCAACTCAATTTAGTATGTAGTTTTAATGATACCACTGCAAAACAACCATTTTCTTCTTTTCTCTAACCTTAAAATTTGATTCATCGCAAACCCAGCAATTCTTCTTATTAAGAATGATCAACAAAGAATACATAGTAAAGGTACTATACTAATTACTAAGAGATGACGTGTTCACTGAATAAAATATATTCCAAAATAATCAGCACGTTCTCAGCCACATAACTACATGTGGAAAAGTTGCATTAATTCTGCCACTGGTGAGCAAGTGACATCTACTCCTTCAATCTGAATATTACAGAGACATTTCAATGCACCAAAAATATATTAAATAGTCTTTGGAGTAACAGTTGAATCCTTATATCAGCATCAATTGTAGTTCAATAGTATTTTCAGCGCCATTTTTTTCCCCTTATCTACACAATATTCTGTGGCATACTGGGCAAGCATTACCATTCTCACTGCACCAATAAAGCAGCTGACAAAAATATGTTCTCTGCCTTGGTTGAGGTTGAAGGGCTGGCTCATGGCAGACGGTGAACTGGAATAAAAGGCTTTTCTTACTCTTAGGTAAATCACAAGGTCAAAGTTGGGGTGAAACCATTTACTCACAAAATGTTGCACAAAGTAAAATGTGGGACTCGGGGTGCAGGCCAGTAGTAGAGCATATGCTTAGCATGAACTGTGTACACACGCAAAAAGTAGAATCTTGGGTCTAAATAATAAATTATGTTCAAAGTCTACATTTAATGTCACAGTTGTATGGTCCAGTTTCAAAGTAAATTGATATATGTATAAAGTGCTTAGAATAGTTTTTGGCAAAGAACAACTTCAGCTTGATAAGGGCTATTCTCCCTATGAAATTGTTTTTCACAGATAAACATTAGAACCTTACTTAACTCTCAAATTTCACGAATGTTTCTTTAAAAAAATTTCCTCTAAACATCAGACCTTTTGCTTCCTCTTCACTTGTATAATCCAGAGCAGAGAGGGATGAAAAAGTCAGGGATGGACAGTCAAGAGACTTTTAACTAATAGTGTTTTGTGGTCTCAGATGAGTCACTGGAACTCTCTGCCTCTCTGTTTGTGATATACTGAAAACATCTGACAGATTCATGTCATACTTTGTTTTGAAGCAAAAGAACAGGCTACATGTACAAATATACAGTCTAAACACATAAGATATCATTTTAGACTTTTCATCTTTTGGTACTTCATGCAAAGACTGGCTACTTAAAGGCAATTAGAAGACTCTCACTGCCAAAAACTTCCTCATTACCTGGGCAATGAACTGGATTATTTTCACAAAGATGTTCAGAGGCATATCCCTCGGCACCACACCACGGGACCCTTTGGGGAAAAGTGTTGTGATGATGCTTATAAGTCGGCTGGAAGATAAGAGGGAAAAAAAGAGAAAACAAGCATGATTGGCTGAGCTCCAGTTCTTTAAGGGAAGATGGCAGATGTTTCATCTTATCTAAGTATCAGAGGGAATTCAGAAAAAGAAAACAAAACACTTCATCCCTTCCATTAGCATAATTACCCTGTGAAAAAAATTTCTGGAAAACTAAAGGTAGTTAGATAATTACAGCGGTTTCCTCTTAGTGGCACATGTAATCCTAGAAGTAGACCTGTCTCCTGGTAGAGACGGGAGTTTCAGTCATGGCTGCCAAGCCATGCCCACAGAAAGCCTGAAAATGTTCTCAGGACTTAGATCTTTTAGCAACTATTAGCTCTGAACAGGTTCTAGCTGGGTTAGGGTAGGTAGTATCACTTCGCGATGGATGAGTAATGTGATTTACAGCTATTAACTCAATGACATGGTCACCGTTACAAGAAGCCAACTCCTTACCTCTGAGTAGCTGTGTTGCTTTCACATTTAATTCGAATCATGTAAACCCAAAGTAGTCTGTAAAGTGATTCCAGGGCAACTCGAGCCATCTTGGGGTCTTTATTCTACAACAGAAATAAAGGTAAGACTGCTGATTAAATGGTAATATATGGAGATGATTCTTTAAATGCATCGGAAAGATAGATCCCAATGGGTGGCCTGTGGGTGACAAGGTGCACTTCATCATCTGCTACTCCAAGGGTAACCGCCTGCCACTGTTTATTGGATAAATAATCCATGAGGAGCAACCCACATGGCTATGAGCCTGCACCACAGTAATTCTGAAGGAAGCCAGTTCATTTTCTCTTAAGCCAGTGTGAGTAGTTTAGAGCTTGCCCTTTCCCTCCACCCTAGAGAATAAATCCTGCGGCACCAACAGGAGAATCCATCTGTTCTTTGCATTGTTAATTATGTCATTTAAACACTATTATCATTTTGATTTCCTAACCCCTTCCTCCCTCCCACCAATCTCATCTGATTAACCCCCAGTATTTATTGAAATTGATGTGTGCTAGACACCATGCAGGAAGATCATCCTTTTCATTAGGATGTTCTCCATCTATGGGGGATGAGAGCTGGACAAAAAACAGTCAAGTCCAAGACAGCATTAAAGATTAGTGGAGAGGGGAACTAGGGTACAGAAGTGTCTAGAAAGGTTTCCAGAAGCAGATGAAAACTCAGATGAACTGTCCATTCATTAATTCACTGAACGAATATGTGAGTGGCTACACTGGGCCCTGTTTGGTAATGAAAGCTCTGAAAACTATAAAACTAATGGTGGGAGGAAGTGCTTTATAGGTAGAGGCTGAGAGAGATGCTGAAAAGAGGTCATTTCTTGGAGTCTGCAAATAGTTTGTGTGCTGGTGAAGGTCAGAGCAGGGTGCCAGGTGGAGGAGCAGCAGCTCATAACACTTAAGAGCAACACAGGGACCCTCCATGAGGGGGTCAGGCTACTCAGCAGGTGACAGGGAGACGCTGAGAGCAGAGTTTCAGGAAATCCTGCATTTGCAATGTGGAGAGAGGAGCAGAGGCAGGCAGAGTCCCTGCTGAGGACATCCAGGCAGTAGCACATCGGTCAGAGGGAGGGCGTGGGTTTCGTAATCTGATGGACATCACCTTCGTTCCTCACTTCTGAGCCTCACTCTATCCTTCTACTGATCTTGTGCATCTTGAACAACATATTAGTGTCTTTGGTTTTAACTTCAACTTTTAAAAAATATTTTCCTATCTCTTCTGCTCTCCATTTGGGGGCATCTTAGAGCCTACAGTGCAAAGAGGCTGACTTAGGCTTTTATTTTCTTCTGCCTGTAATTGATTTTTTAGCATTTCAGGATGAAACTACTGATCACAGCAATTGCCTTCTAAAGCAATTTCTTGCCTCACTTTCATTCTCATAGTCAAATGATATTCTTAAGATACAAGCATGATGATTTAATTCTTTGCATTTAAAATGCTTCAGTGGCTTCCAGTGACCTACCTTGCAGCGCACAAATTCCGTAACAGGGCACATGAAGCACCTTTTGTGTCTGGCATCCCAGTGCCATTGATGGCACTGCCCCTCAGACAGTAACATGCTTTTCACAGTTTCTTGAATGTCTCAGATGCCTCTTACCCTTCGTCAACTTGGAAGATCTGTACTGCCTGGTGAAACTTAGGTGTTACTTCTCTTATGTTCCCTACCCCTCCACTCCTTTCCCCAGACCCAGGAGAGGCTGTCCGGTGCCCCTACAATTTCCTAGAACATGCTTCTGTTCCTTTATTTGCATATTTCCTATCAGCATGTAAGTTCCAGATTATTTTGGTTTGCTCATCTTTGTGTGCTCAGTGACTATAACAGAGCAGGTTAATATTAAAAACAAAAACCGTGAGTAGTGGCTGAAGAACTTGATGCATAAGCAAGATTTCTTCATACGGAACCTATACAAAAGGTAAGCCTTGGCTTGTCACTGCAGCTCATCTTCATGATATTGTAATGACAGCAATAAGGACCTTGCACTCATTTGCATTTTGGTCTTTCCAGATTTCTTTCCTATAACATGATAGCAACTGAGGGATTTTATAACTGAGAGAGGCCTAATGAATTGCTCAAAATTATCAGGCTAGCAAATTACAGCTGGGACTTCTACTTTAATAAGTGTATTTTTTCTAGAAATTAGAATGTATATTATATTAGGCATTCTTGCCAATGCTTGCTATCGTTTGCATAAGTATCCTCCAAAGGCCCATGTGTTACAGGCTTGGTTCCAGGGTGGCGCTATTTGGAGATACTGCGTTTAGGAGACAGGGCCTAGTAGAAGGCTAGTCATTAGGGGCTTTGGGTCATTAGGGGCTTGTGCCCTCAAGAGGGACTGTGGGACCTGGGCCTCTTACTTCTCTTGATGTAAGCAGTTTGGCTCTGCCACAAGTTCCCAACATGATATGCTGTCTTGCTACTGGACTGAGCTAAAAAGGGGTTACTTAATTATGGACTGAAATTTCTAAAACTGAGTCAAAATGCCTGTGAAGCCTTTTCTCTTTTTAAATTAATTATCTCCAGTATTTTGTTAGGGTGATGAAAAGCTGACAATTCTGATTTATATGTGTAGACTCATTTTAATTCTCATAAAAACATGAAGTAGATACTGTTAATATTTCATTTTACAGATGAGGAATTCATGACATAGGGAAGTCAAATAATCTGGAAAATTTCACATGTCTCATAAATGGCAATGCCAGAATTTAAACATAGGCAATCTGGCCCCACTGTCTCACAGTACAGTATTAACATTTCCACTTCAGCTTAATGTTATACACAGGGTGCCTATACATGCCATTGGGACCTACTGGATTGCCTCTCCTTGGGCAAAGGACCTCTTCCTCATTTGTATTTGCAGTCCCTGCTTAGCCACTAACAGATGCTTGATGTGTATTTTCAGGATGTAGATTTTTTTTAGCATTTTCTCATACCACCGATTTCTATCAAAGCCTTCAGCTACGCAATCAAAGACTATTCTTCTGTTGAAATCTGTGACTACATTAATTAATTGTTTTTGTATTTTTTTTTTTTTTTTTGGTTTTTCTCCGGTACCGGGAACCGAACTCATGACCTTGCGCTTGCCAAGCAGGCGCTTTTGCCACTGAGCTAAATCCCCAGCCACTTGTTTTTGTATTTATTGTAGCTCTGAGGTTTCTTGATAAAATGGTTCAGAAAAACAGTGGTCTTTAGAGCAGATCTTTCCTAGACTGATGGCATCTCACCTCAGTGCCCTTTACCGATTTCACTGATATGTCACCTTGCCCAATGACATGCTTATTTTCTTTAAATTGTTCTTCTAGTTTAGTTAAGATAGAATTGGCAATTGCTTCTTGGCCTTTTGGCTAAGATCAAGTGAAGATGGAATTGGTAGTGAAAAATGGGGATGGTTAAATTCACCAATGGCTGGTGATAGGGTCTTCATATCGACTGCATATTATTCAAATGACATATTATGAAAGGTTATGATAATCTCTAGAATTGCTGTTCTGACGATGTATGGAGCTTATTTTTCTTTGTAATGGCTGAATAAGATTTTCTCATTCAAGAATGAGATTTTCTTAAGATTATAGAAATAAGGTTAATACTACACAGAGTAATTTCATCCAGAAAACTAGTATTTATGACAGCTGATACTATACCATTGGTATAGTATCATGGTATTTACAAAGAGAATAGTATTATTTTTAAATAAATGATGTTGTGTGTTTTAAACATTCAGGTAACAATTGTGGAGTCCTTAATCAGTATTTCTATTTATAAAATGAAGATATCATTAATAACATTATATGAAATGATTTTTCAAAAGTACTCTTTAGATAGCATTATAATTATTAAACATAAACATATATTAAGTGCAGAAGACAATTTTCATTGTATATCCTATTTATGGCAACACTTGTTTTGGGATTCTTAGTGGAAATCAAAGTACCTCACTGAATCTATTACTGGCCCTCCTTGAATGCATCATTCCCTATTGCAATACCCTATTTGATTTTCTTCAGAGCAGTTATTAATGTCTGAAGTTTTAGTTGTCATATTTTATTTCTTGCTTATCATCTTTTTCTTCCACTAAATTACAAAGTTATTTAGCTGACCCACTGGCTAACTAAACCAATGAATGAGTTCACATCTTCGCCCAAGTAGGGACTAAAACAAGGAGATTTCTTAGTTTGTGTTTGCTTTCTCCAGTTATGAAACTACCTTGAATAATGTTTAATTTTCAGAAGAAGTATTGCTGTCTGAGTAAAATTTTTAGAAAAATAAAAATAACATCCATAAACTCATGAGCTCAAGGGAGCTTGTGGCAGTGTCATGCTCCATGACAATGTATATAAAGCCTTAACCCCTCACTTGGCTCTTAATAGATTGCCAATTAATAAGAGCTGTTATTATTAATCATATAATAAATGCTTTCATATCTTCAAGCTTTTTCAGTTTTTTTAATAATCTGGGTTTCACTCAATATTACATCCATTTTTTATAAAAAGAAGCACTTTTAAGACTCAATTACATCTATTTTTCAGGATAAGAAGCTAGCACACAGTTATGAATGTAACAAATGTTCTATTTTAAAAGTACGATTACATCAAGTTCACAAAGCGTATTTCCTTTCCTCAGAGTTAGATGTCGTATGGCAGATATGAAGATAATGCATCATTTTCAAAAACCTCTAGGGTGTTCAAAGTCTGACATGAATGACATAGAAAACAACTGGTCACCACGGACCAAGAGTTCCTGAAAGATGTGACTATTTTGGTGAAAAGATGCCATGGATTTCTCATTACCTTACTATGGCCTATTGCTGATATTATTGACTAGGTTAATTAAGTATAAATATTAAAGAATTCAAGTCTGCATTCCCAGAGCAGGCTGGTTCTGACAGACCAATACTCAAAAAAACCAAGGACACTGACATTGAGTGAATGCTGATTCTGAGAGCTGGTATCTTCGAAAGCATGTGACTGTGGTCACACCCACCTCTGCTTATGCACACGGCCATCCTGGTGGCTCACCTCTGCAGAACATTTCAAAGATGGCCACCAAGGTCTACGTGGAAGACACTGACATTAGGTTCATTATCCTGAAGCACCTGGGAGAGTTAGGGCAGGGAGGGCAGATTGCTGGAAGATATATATGGGGAAGGGCTGGGTGGGTGGCCAATTAAGAAATGATGTGGCTGGTTCTAAAGAGTATGAAATATTGAAGCTATCAAGGCAGAGTATATTTCTAAAGCCATATTACTTTTTAAAGTATATCTTCTCTAATGAGGATTTGTGAGGAGATGTGGACTGTTTTCTGTATATGGTACTAATGATATGTAAAATGATTGGTTGGCTCCTACTTCTTTTTTCCTAAATTGCCCAGCTTGGTCTTGAACTTGTGAATCTCCTGTCTTAGTCCCTTGAGTAGCTGGAATTATAGGAGTGTGCCACCACACTGGGTGTTATGGTTTGTGTCTAAGATGCCCCCCCTCAAGCCTCATGCAGTCCTGGGGCGGGCTTCTAGAGTTCTTGATTGATTCATGGTCCAGTGCTAGGATTATGGGTGTGAGTGCTACATCACCCTGGGGCAGGTAGTTTGCATACAATATAAGGGAAAGGAAGAGGCTTGCTCTCTGCTGCTCCTCTCTTTTTGCTCTTGCTGTTTTGCTGTCTTCTGCCTCCATGAATGGTTGCCCTCTGCCATGTGCCACTCTGCCTTGGAGCCAGATGAGTATGGACTGAAACCTTCACAAACTGTGAGCTAAATAAACCTTTCCTTCTTTAATTCTGGGCATCAGGTATTTTGTCTCAGCAATGAGAAAAGTAACCAAGACACTGGGCTTTCATGTTTCACGGGAAATAAGACCTTTACAGGTCACACAGGTATATACCTGCTCCCAACTTTGCATCCCTCACTGTCTGTATCAAATACTGTAAGTCTCTATTACATAACCATCAGTGAAATGCTAGGCTCTTCAAGGGCAAGTACTCTAATCCTGTATCTCCTTTTATACACTTGGCCTTCCCACATTCTTCTCACTTCAAGCCTCTTCTCTGGCACCTCAGACAGTGGACACTATAAACTTTTGCTGAACTACTCTACATGCCTTTTCTAATCTTACTGCCTCTGTTTAAAGAAATCCTAATGGGCAAATGTCTGCGTAGTGAGACATTGTCAGCATCTAGATCCAATCCTCTTTAGTGTAGTTCATAATCCTCTTAGTAAGCCTTTCTGGTAGGCTTTGACTAGCGCTCTAAACAATATTATGACCTAGAAATAATTAAGTTCCAAAATATGATGGTCTGCCATGTTTCAAAATCCAATTTGGACCAAAACAGTACATAGCCTTTTTGGCCACAGCAGTAAATTGTTATGTGAAATATTTATATTTTACCCCCACACTCATCAGACATAACACATACAGAAAGGCTCAGTGTAAACATTCTTAATCATTTCTCTTTTTGTTTTGAAGAAATGATTATGTTCTGTTTGTGTAAACTGTAAAAGAAATTAACTTGGATTAGTAACTAGATACTGAAAACTGGAAATAACAAAATAACATTGGGCTGTCCTTTAGGGTTGTATGGCAGATGGATAAATCCTCAAACAAAGTACCTTAAAGCGGCTGTTATATAACCGTTGATAACCCTAAAAACATTTCACTTTTTGGAGAATTCAAAAGCTTCATTCTCTATTCACTGCTATTATATTTCACTGCCAATTTGAAGAAAATGAATGATTCTAATCTTGTATTTCACAATCAGCTTTTAGAGTCAGTACACAGTTGGTCTTCAAAATGGTTCTAATGCAGATTATTGTGCAATTATGGTAAATGCCAAAATAATGTAATTAATCTTAACCACTTCACTAAGTGTCTTAGAGAAAAATACAAAACAAGGCAACATGTATGAGCACATATAAACTTTTACAACTAAATGTTTTCTAAAATTTGAAAATAGCAAATACCAAACCTATCAACAAAAACACCAAACCCACAACTTCGGACATAACTAGGAAAGAGTATGAAGAATGCATTGCATTGTACTTAGAATAGGGAGGGGCTTATTTATCAATAGTTCACTGAAATTTAAAACATTTACCACTTCAAGGCTATACAGCCTACTTTTGACACTGATTATAACTGTTACCACTGTGGGCTCTGTAGTCTCAGGGACCATGAGTTTACTGTGGACATCAGTTGGCCCCGTGCTGACTACCTGGGCAGCAGTGGACACTTAGTACTGTCATGTAGCTGAAACAGAATACCCTGAAGTAATTACACACACCAGTGACAGAGGCAAGTGTGGTCTGTTACTAGGTCAATCCTTCCACAGAATGGAGCTATGTTCTTAAACTGAAGGAGACAGAGGAAGACTAGGTAAGCACAAGAAATTAATTCATGTGCTTCTATCAGTTAAATGTGGCTGTTATTTTTATTTCATTTAGATAAATAGATCTATTCACATGTTTATAAAGCAGCATTAGATATCTTTAGCAGACTTTATTAGAACAGATTTATTTTTCCCTAATCTGAAGTGATTTCTCTTATCTCTAGTCAGAAGCACATATACTAGCCTGAGAACTATACTGTAAGTTTTATAGAAGATTTTTTTGTTGAGTGGGCAAATACCCACCTTCAGGTTAGATAAGCAGTTGTTGAGGAACACATGCCATCTGTTCAGGAACAGCTGCTTCTGACTGACGCAGAGCAGACAGGTCACCAGGGGGTACAAAGCCTGGAAGAAAGGAGACAAGGTCACAGTGTGAATGTGTCACCTTTTCTTTTTTGCATGTCTGGTGATGGAACCCAGGTCCTTCTCCAGGCAAGGCATGTTCTCTACCACTGACTCACACATGAGCCCTAGAGGATGACTGATACTGTATTAAGGGACTAGGTAATGCATTCTCTGCACCTATTATTTCGCTGCCTCCTTCTGCAGCCCTATAAGGTTGAATTAAACAACATATTATATAACACAAGAAGGCCCATGGGTGAACAAGCAGGGATGAATATTTTGCACATGTTTTCTGATAATGCTGGGCATGGAACAATCTATAACTATGGATAGTGTACAGTAATGTTCCATGAACAGTAATATGAAAATCTGATTCACTCTGTCTTCCTTAATGAACTTTACAAATAAACTCACCATTTTAGACAACTCTCAATTCCAGAAAACAAGGAGAAAAGCACTCATTTAAAAAGTGTTACTGGCTGTTTCACTTAGCAGCATCTACTATCTTAAAGGTAGGTTTGTATGTTTTCATTTGCATGCAACCTTCCTGTAATTAAGGAAGATCCCTAGAAGAAATGTTTTTGCATTGGTAAACTGTACCAAGACAAATTTAACTATGGGAGGAATCTGCTTACATCCAAATAAACAGAGGTGCGACTGGGCTTTTCCTGCCTAACTAGCCCAGCTTCCCACAGCAGCTGGAGCACACAAAAACTCACGGGCAGGAACCCAAGAAGCCTACATTCAGAACACACTGCCACTCTACTCAGCCAAATAGTGTAACACCTCTATGGCTCCCCAAGAAATTAGGCTGGTCAAGATTTAAACAAAAACGTAACTGGCTCACCTATTCATTTGGACTAGCAAGAAACAATTGCCATAGGTGAGAATCAGTGCTCAAGAATTCAATAACTTAGTGTTCCTCTCGTTCTTCTTCTTCTTCTTCTTCTTTTTTTTTTTTTTTACCGGAAATCAAACTCAGGACCTTGTGCTTGCCAGGCAGGCACTGTGCCACTAAGCTATATCCACCGTACAGTGTTTTACTTCTTTAATTTAACTAGTTTTAAGGACTTTGAACTACTGCTCCAAATTAATTCACAAATCTAATACTCAATAGCAATCTAAAAAAATGTCCCACAGTCAGTCACCATGCCCATGGAAATAACAAAATAATAATAATGCAGACAAATGTCATTACTATGAGCAAAAATATCTACTCAATACATATTCATATTATGGTGGTGGTGTTTATACTTGACCATAGACTATCACAATTACAGAGGTCACACCATTTGATAATTTATAAATCAGACTATTATTTACCATAGGGGAAAAAGGTAGTGGTGACTTAAAAGACTCAATGCTGTTTTTCAGCATCAAAGCCTTCCCAAGAATTGTTTTCCCAGCCTTCTAAAACCCTGTCTGTGAGGAACTATTTCCTGTCTCCCTTTCTTGCCTAGTTCAATTTGGATTCTGATTATCAGGATAGGAATTAGCCATTGCGAGCTCTTGGGGATTCAGAAGAGAAACTGTTATTATAAACTTTAGCCTTCAGATAGGAAAAAAAATCTCCAAAAATTCAAACAAAAATCAAGTTGAACCCATTTTAAAAATAAACAGCAGGACCAGAAGGGTCAGGTGAGGTGACAAGATCTAATCCCCTTACTTTACTTACGGTGGTTCATTGTCAGTACTAAATGTAATTTCCCAAGTTTGAAAACAGTCTTTTGGAGACAGCTGTAGGTAATTCTCCCTTCTGTAGCATCCTTAGGACTCTCAAGTAGATTTTTGCCTAGGAATTTTAATCTCTGCAGTTTTGTTTGTGTTTTTGAATTTTCTCATAGTTACTAACCAAGGAATGCTTCTTTCGAGAAGAAAGTTCCAGGGTGGTATCATATAGGCTTTCCACAAAGTTTCTGAGGCAGGGAACATTTACTTCATTTTTAACAGCCTGAAATAGAGATGCATGTGAGTATTTTATTAATGAAATTGTTGAATCTGTGATCCAGTTTCAAGAAGTTCTTAGAAATTAAAATGTAACTCACAGCAGCAACTGGGACGAGGATTTCCACAAAAAGTCCAGCCAACGCATGTTTGATATCTTTGTCTTTGACCTCAAGGAAATAATGTGCACATTCCTAGGAAGCACACAAAGAATATAGGGAAGGAAAGTAGATTAAAGTGTGCATGTGAAACGTATTTAAACAAACTTAAGTAAATAGTTTTCAACTCAATCACAAATACCAACACAGCATATCTGACAATCAGTTTAAAAATCACTGGTTTCAACATTCATACTGAACTCTCAATGCTTCCAAGGGTCTCAGAGAGATTTTGCGAGGCTAGTTTTATCTCTCTCTTTCCACTTCTATTTCAAATCACTACCTTGAAAAGGGCAGAGCATCTGTAACCAGTAAGCACACATTTGCCCACTCGATTACTGGTCAGTTCAGTCTATATATACAAATATATACCTATATATTTCTATTGATTCCCTACCCTGTATGGGGCTCTGGGTCTTTGATTAGCCCACAAACACAGATCCCCAGGGAAGGTAAATACGGGAAGAAAGGCAAAAGACAGTAAATTTATTTTAGTCCCTAAGCTTGAAAGCCTTGGGAAAGAAATGTTTAGTTGTTCACCCTGACATTTCAGGTGTATTTATTATTCTGATCATTTCATAAGCAAGTATGGAATACTTTCCTTCTCCACTACAGACCAGGAAACTTTTGGAATAGCTCCTCAGCAAGGGTGTCTTTGCTTGTGAAGATACTGCTGATACAAGCAGCTACAGTCAATGAAAAACTACTTTTGGTAGCACATGGATTGGGTGTGCAGGAAAGTCACCAATTGAATTCTGCCAGTGTCTCTCTCCTTCCAAGCTTTATGCTAGTAATTTATAGTGGTTACTTGGAGATATTTTTTAAGAGTCCAAAATGACATGTATTTGATGATGTGCTATATTAGTTCCTAAACCTTTACTGCAGTCGCTATTGGGAAGACTGCCAAAAACAGTTGCAAAGTTTCTTAGTCCATCAATATCATATTCAGATCTCTGCCTAGGTTGGGGAACACTAAAGGAAGTAAGCCACTGACACTTTCCTTTATAGAATGGAGCTATACAGTTACCAGGATCATGGTCCTTTTTCTATTTTATTTTGCATTTGTATGTAAATACTTTCTCAAGTCATTCAAGCACATAACATGTCTATTATCAATTCCAGAGTGCAACAGAAATAACATGACTGAGTACTTACATTGGAATCATTCTCTCAGGGCAATGTCTTTGCCACTACCTGGCCCATAAATAAATGAGACTGAGAAGGAAGAAGGAGGAGCTAAGTGTGACAGGCCAAGGTGACAGACCTGGTAAGTACTGGGACCTGAATTCAAACCCAAGAAGTTTGATATACAGTACCCACTGCTCCTTCTCTCCCTTGTATGTATCAGCTTTATTGAGATACTACTTGCATACCTAATTCACCCATTTAAAGTGTTCAATTAATTGTTTTCAGTACATTCAGAGTTATGGGTTATTACAAATACATTTAGGACTTTTTAATGAGGCCAAAAGCTCTACACTCTCTAGATACCCCCCAATCTTTCTATCCACCTCTCACCCTCAGCTACAGGCCAACTATTAATCTATTTTCTGTCCCTATGGACTTCCTTTGTAGAGCCGTATCATCCACTGTATGGACATACTGTACTTTGCACATCTGTTCATCAGTTTAGAGATATCTGGGTTGTTTCCACTTTTTGTCTACTGTGAATAATGCTCCTATGAACATCCATGTTAAAATTTTTGTGTGGACACGTACATTCACTTCTATTGGGTATATACCTTGAAGGGAAATTTCTGGATTATTTGATAATTCTACATTTAGTCATCTAAGGAACTGCCAGGATATTTTCCGAAGCAAACGTGCTGTTTTATCTTTATACTATCAGTGCACGTGGGCTCCAATTCATCTATATCCTCACCTATACTCATCACCCATCTTTGTGGTTATAGCCTGTTTGGTCATGAAGTGGCACAGCCTGTATTCATAATCCCTGTATTTAAACTCTTTAGTAAGATCATCCTCTAATTTAATTTACAGTAGCATTAGAAAAATCCCTTAAAATCCTAAAGTTCTATAAGCCCTTGATAGAACTATGTGTTTTGTGAAGTCTTCACTAGGAACAATTTTTTTGTTATATAACATGATGAATTCTGGTCAGCTGACATTAAACCTGTATGGTTTGGTTGATTTTTTTAAAAAATTAAGGTTCCTTTCAACAGTAAGAATAAAACAGATTTCTATCTTGAATAAAGTTCTCCTGCCTGTACTGTTGATGTAGTAAACCTAATGCTATCAATTCTAAAAAGTAAAAAAGTCAGTTACAGTTTATTCACAGAGCAATATACACCAATGACTGAAATAAATTAACAAAAAAGAAATTCTATTCATACCCAACTTCAAAGATGATATGAAAATTTAAAACTGAAGTTATGTCTCTGCAACTCTATTCAGTTCCAAGGCTCTTCATGAATTATTAAGGCAGGAATTTTTTCTCCCTATGTTGTCAAGTACGGATGCTTCTTGATTCATGATGGTATTATATCCCATAAGCCCAACATTAATTAAAATTACTGTAAAAAGAAACTGCATTTACCACTTAGCAGTAGAGCATAGTCATGAGCATCCATTGTTTCTGCCAGTCAGTATGGAGCTGACTGGGAGTGGTGATGGCTGCTGCTACCCAGAGTCATAAGAGAGGATCAGACTGCATAATAGCTAAGAAAACAACCAAATTCAAGATGGAAATAAGGTTTTTGCTAAGTGTATACAGCCTTTGCACCATCGTAAACTTGAAATACTATAAGTTGAACCACTGTAAGTTGGGTACTGCCTGTAAGAGGTTCTCACATTCCAGGTGTGTCATTTTGATAAAAGGAATGGCTCAAATCAATGGCCTCTTGGGTCTCTGCCTAGGGCTTTACCTGCATAAACTGAAGAGAGGCCTCGAAGTCCTCCACTGGATACATCTTTATTCGAAAGAATTTCATCCCCATTATCAAGCTGATAATGCTTTGTACCACATATGGGCTCTGTTCTTTGTGCCGTAATTCTTTTAGTTCTGCCATAAATTTTTTCTTGACAGCAGGGAATCTAGGAAGAAACCATACATGATTTACCAAGTAAGCAGTAGGAGGGTCACTGTAAACAGGGGCCTCTAGCATCCAAGAGTGCAAGTACAATGAGTGCCATTTCACATGGATTTGACGTTTGAGATTTGACAGAGTTCAATTTTCCCTCCGTCCCTTATACAACAAGATGCTCCACACTTCCTTCAGACTAGGGAGCAGATCTAGCAGTGCTGAGACCCTCTCAAAATGGTTTAGCTGTTAAATTAGGTGGATGAAAGTTCCATTTCCTCAGGCTTAGTAGTTCCCAGCAAACTTGCATACCCTACGGTTCTACAGTACCAAATTGTATTTGAACAATAACATAGCACAATCAATTATTTCTGACAGTGGCAGTAAATAATTTCTGAACTCAGATTCCAAACATGACAAAAATATTCCAAAACCCATTTCCAAAGGTTTCTGCTGTCATTCTCTTAAATAGTTTTAAGTTAATAACTATGGGAAAATGTATTTTTAAGTTGGAGGAAAAATCTAGTAATGGAAAAATTCAAATCGTACCTAAAAGATAAAGATGAATGGGCTGTCTACTATATGCATGGAATTTCACAGTTTGATCTGGTGAATGAGAACAAATACAAAAACATCACCCCTATTCTCAAGGAGTGTCATGTATTTGTTTTACTTGAAAGAAAAATAATAATAATCATAACAAGTGATAATGCCACATGGGTTTTAAACCAGGATAGATCTTAAGGCTAAGAGAATAAAAACAGAAGATCTTTGAAATACCTAAAGAGAAAGGAATGCACACACAAAATTATCCAAACTACTTTTCAGATACAACTGGTCTGATCATTAATTTTCAAAAAAGAAAAACAAAAGAAAACATTCTAAAAGCCATTGTTTTTTGTTTTCTAAGACTATTAGCCTGAGGCTCCCATAAGTGACAGAGTTAATTACAAGCAACCCATAGTTAGGAAGGGTAATTGTGGCTATAAAAGTTGAAGGAGAACTAAGAATCTCTGAAATTTAGATAAACTCTCTCCTTACAGTAGAGATTGTAGGACACACAATGAAGGCAGCAAACACAAAACATCATTCTACTAAAGGCAGTTCAAAAGACTGGTTTCTGGGTTAGATGGCAGTTATATGGTATTTATTGTACAACAGTTTGTTAATCTTTGTTTTATAGATTTTCTTTATATTTGCTACATATATTTCACAATAAAAAGATTTTAAGGTAATAGAACAGACAATATAAATTACTTCAAGAAGACAAATATCTTATGAATAAAGTTATTTTCTAAATGGTTGCTAATAACTTAAGGCTATGTCAGGGTTTATTCCTATTCTGTGGTGGCATTTTGTGAGTTTCTACAAACATTCTGAACAGGCTAATTATGACATGTCTGAAATACTATTATAGTGAGAGAAGATATATCTGAAGTGGCAGCAACAAAACAAATGAACAAGGCTCTAGAAAAAAATCAAATCAGAAATAATTTCTCAGATAACTACAGAGATGGTGACCACAATGAAAAACATGTCTGGTCACCCTAGAGCAGATACACATAAAGAAAGAGGAGCTTACAAAAATGATGGAAACTATGAATGCCTAACATAGGAAACAAATGGAATCCCTAAAACAGATTTAAGCAGATATCCAGGAGATTAAAAATTCCATTGAAAGTATCCTCAGCAGAATAAACCAATGTGAGGGCAGAATAAACCAATGTGAGGACAGAATCTCAGACATAAGAATGATATAGGAGGGCTTGTAGTTAGTGATCATGAAAGGAAAAATGTCTTAAAAACAGTAAGGGACCACAAGAAATCAAGCCAGCAGCTGTTAGATGATGTAAAGAAAATAAGATTGATTGGAGTCAATGAAAAAAGTTGTTAATAGAACAAATGATATGAAAAAACTGTTCACAGATGTTATGGTAGAAAACGTCCCTGGTTGGAAAAAGTATTTGACATGCAGATAAGTGAGGCATATAGAATGCCAATTAGCCATGATCAAAAAAAATCCACAGCAGGGCATATCATAGTCAAAATTCCACAAATTCAGCATAAGAACAGAATATTGAAAGCTGTTAGAAAAAAGAAACAAATGATCTATAAAGGAAAGCACATCAAGATCACAGCTGACTTCTCAACCCAAAGACTAAAACTAGACCCAGATCTTTTATCATGCACTAAACTAAAATCAAAATAGATCAAAGATCAAAATATCAACACAGAAATACTAAACCTCCTGGAAAATAGAATAGGTAGAACTCTTGAAGATATTGGCGTAGGCAAAGATTTTATGAACAAAACCCTGATCTCAAAGGTACTATCCCAAAGAATCAACAACTGGGATCTCATTTTATTAGAAGCTTTTCATAGCAAGAGAAACTGTCAACAGAGTGAAGAGACAAAGCACGGTGTAGGAAAAAAAGTTTTGCCAGCTGCTCCTCAGACAAAGAGCTACTATGTAGAACATAGAACTCACAACAATCAGACCCCCAAAGTTTAAAGATCCAATCCAAAAATGGGAATCTGAAATGAATAGTTGAAGAAATAGAAAAATGTTCAACATCATTGGTCAAATGTGAAATGCAAATTAAAACAATGCTGTGATTCCATTTCACTCCCGAAAGATGGTTATTACCAAGAAATCAACCAATAACAAGTGTTGGTGGGTCTGTGGGGAAAAAGGAACCCTTTTCCACTGTTGATGGAAGTGTAGTCAGGCACATCCATTGTGGAAATCAGAGGGGAAATTTCTCAAAACTAGGACTAGAGATTCCACTGGACCCAGCTATTCTTGGTATCTTCCCAAAAGAAATAACAGCATCATATCACAGCAATATAGGCATACCCATGTTTATAGTGGCATAGTTTGTGATCATCAGTTCTTGTAAACAGCCCAAATGCCCATCAATTGGTGAATGGATAATGAAGACATGGGTTTTTTTATACAATGGAGTACAACTCTGTCATAAAGAAGGATAAGCTTGAGACATTTTTAGATAAGTGGATGCACCATGAGACCATAATATTAAGTGAAATAAACCAGATATACCTGTAAATATCACATAGTTTCTCTGGTACGAGAAATCCAAAGTATAAATAAGGACCAAAATATATAATAGGAAGAAAATGTTCAGATGGGAGCAGAACAAGGGAGGATAGAGGGGGAAAGGAAAGAAAGGAAAAGTACAAAAAATGAGAACAGAAGGAAAAGTGAAAACTGACCTTTTGTAAATGGGGGAAGAGGGGTTGAAGGGCGAGAAGGAAAATAGGAAAAATAATCAACCTATGTCATGTATATATATCATTACCTATACCTAAATGTACCAATAAAATCTGACTGGAAACTGTTAAAAAAATCTTTGAATCTTAGAAGTAATCATTATTTAGATGAATGTACCAAGTTTTAACCAAAGCATATATAATATCTACTTTCAGCTAAGTTTGAAAAAAATCAATATTATGTGTGAAGATCTCTTAATGACACTGCAACATTCCTTAATGAGCAGAATTAATTATCACTGTTACCAGGAAAATTTAAAATAGTGAGTATGCTAGAACTCAGGTCAAAGTACACCTCAATAAGTAAAGTCATAATGAGGAAAATATTTTATATCTTCCTATGCACAGTCACTGGGAACTTGATATTCAATCTACAATTTGAATTATTATCTAACTTCATAAAAAAAAATAAGTTAACCAAACTGTTCTAGGTAAGTGTACATTCTTTTTTCCCTGAGAACAAAAGATGCAGTACTTTTACAGACCAATAATAAAGTAATGGTCCTGGTGTACTTATGGGCAAGTAGTGAGATAATACATGACACCAGGGGCTGGGGATTTAGTTCAGCGGCAAAAGCGCCTGCCTGGCAAGCACAAGGTCGTGAGTTCGGTTCCCAGTACCGGAGAAAAACCAAAAAAAAAAAAAAAATACATGACACCAATATAAGATTATACTATATATCAGTAAGGGTTAACTATAGATTGCCTAGTTGAGAATATATTATGGGTCACCATCATCACTGCAACAGCAGACTGGCCGAAGTGCTTTAAAAATATCTAATTATAATGACTTTGAAAACATCAGCACTATATGTGAATATCATTTCACAGCAAAAAATGTTTCCTTTAAAGACAAGAATTAAGGAGTTTGTTAGTAACTGGAAAGTCCTGGCACACTGTCCAAATGCAGGCATTTCATGTACTTAACTATTACAGAATCAGGACAAATACTGATGTCATAAAAATTTAAAAAGGCACTGTTGGCAGGGAAATTCTGGGTGAGTAGATCATAAATCTAATCTAATATGGAAATTTCTACAACCTTTGTTTTTAAAAATTTTATTGGTACATTTTATATATACATAATGATAACATTCATCAGAGGGAATTTAGACCTTTACATGATACATCTTGCTTCTTTTTATCCTATTCCCCTTTCCTCCCTTCAATCCCCCTTCCACTGCTTACTTACAAGAGTTATGTTTCCATTTTTTCTTTCTGCTTTTTTTGTCCCTTCTCTCCTTTGTTGCTTAGTAATGATATTAATTCTCCATTCACAACTAACTCAGTCTGTATTATGAAATATTGTTCTGCATATCTCATAAACTAAGAATAACATGTCATTTTTATATACCCAGTTTCCCAAGTGAGAACATAAGAGAATTATATAGCAATAATTACAAAGGAATATATTAGGATTTTCAGAGTTTGACACATTAGCAAATATATATATACATATATATGTGTATATATGTGTGTGTGTATATATATATGTGTATATATATATATGTGTGTGTGTGTATATATATTAGTATCTGCTGTTTCAAATCTTTCTCAGGAATGACAAAAGGAATGAACTGTCAAATAATTACAACATATCCAGTTAAGTGCTAAGATTTTGTAGTATTATACTGCAATAGAAATTTTTTAGAAAAAAACACTATAATTTTCTTTAATGATTCATGAACTAAATGATCATAATAGACTATAACCAAAATGCAACACGGTCTCATGCAAAATAGTCCAGAGAACTCTACTGTTTCATTCTATATATGATTTGGCCCATTTCCTTCCCCTCTGTTGTCGCCCTTTGACCCTGTCAGTTCTCACTGGTGTCAGGGTAGAATTTCCCTCTACTCCTTCTAACAGTGATGGTGTTTGTGTTAGGAAAAACAGGTTGGCATGATGAAGAGGTAAACAGGATTAGATTAAATAAATCATGCCAAGACATTTTGGGGGCTTTTTTTCTTGGGTTCTTGTCTATATTTTGACTAGGTAAGTCTGCTGAACAAGTACTTAAAATTCTTTTGGATAACTTGTGTATTTCCATGCCACTAAGTTAGGACATTCTGTCTCAAAGACACAAATGTCTTTCTGTGGATTGCATTTCACAAGAATCAGAGCATCACTGTTGCTGTAAGCTAGCCCTTGGCTTGAATTCATATTATGTCTCTGGATCCTTTTGCCTAACCTAGGCATTCAGGATCTTGCCCAATTTGCCTCTGGGTTGGATAAAATGAAGCCGGGTAAAGTAGGGTGTGACATCATTTTGGAAGGAGTGTATTATTGCTAATAGTCTAACACGACTTTGTTCTAGCCTGCTAAGTCGCATTACGGGGCCAGATAAATTTAGCAATGAGATTTTCCCCTGCCTTGTTTCCATGACAGTCTGGGACATTTTTAGCTCAGCTGAATTAAGTAAGGTCTATAGTAAAAGGGACATTCTAGAATGGAATTTTCCCACTCATGGATGATAGATTGTAACCACCCACTCAAGGAATACAAAAAACAAAACTTTAAAAACTGGTAAGTATTTTTGGACTATCCGGGCAGACAGCAAAGCAATTTGTTTAGTCCATGTCATTCCCTGAAGAATGGTCTGAATCCCACAGGGTCAGTAGGGTCTGGTCCAAGTGCCAGAGTGAGAAGTGAAACTTAGACCCTGCCCTTGAGGAACTTCTAATTAGATCTGAAGATGGAGCATACACTGCAAAAGCAACCCTAGTTCCTTGTGAACTCACACCCTACCCTTTCCCTTTAAGTTATAAGCACTGATATTCTCATGGTCAAGGATTCTGATCTTCACTTACTTAGCTTGTGCCAACACTCCAATGACTTCTGCATACAGGTCGGCCACAATGTGCATATTGCCAGTGTTAGGACCGAGGTACCTAAGTAAAGTAGAATTGGACAAGTTAGGGATCCCTGTTCATCTGAAAAGACCAAACCATTGATTTAATTTTAAGCACCCAACTTCTTCAGTATTCTAATGCCAGAAATCATCTTACCCTTCTTTGTATTTAAAGTGCTTGAAAGCCAAGTTAATAACATCGTGTATTAAACTGTCTATTACAGGATGTAGTGGAATCTGAAAAAAAAAAAGACAACTTTTAACTTGGAAGGGAATATTTAAAAGCAAATCAGTACTCATGACCCAGCATTTAGAATTCATAAATAATTTAATAAACTTAGAATTTCAAAAAGTTTTTAGATGAATAAATGTTACTTAAAAGTAATAATAAATTATTCACACACCTGTTTCAAAACTTCTATTAATACTAAGGAAAAAATAAAATCAATGGCGAGGTCTCGTCTTTCCATTAAATAATCTCGCTGCTGTTCATCACTGTAAAATTTAAAATACATTAATTAGCACTGAAGTATTTTCAAAGTGAGATAATTCATTAAAGATCTAGAATTCATCCCCAAGGGACTGTAAGCTTATTTTGTTACTTGAAGACTGCACTGGGTAAATGCATGCTAATGCCTTTTCTGTTATCAATGTGGTACAATAGGCAAACATTGGATTTGAAGTTAAAATATTTGACTTCAAATCTAAAATTTCTAACCATGTGAAGTTGAGTGGCTACTTGTGAGTCCACACCCTCATCTTGTGAACTTTCTTACAGTAGGTAGCTTGCAATCCAGGAATTCTATCATCTGTAAAATGTGCAGCAAACACAAGATGCATCCACCATCATGGAAGTGTGCATTCAAAGGATCTTATGAAAGAAGATAGACAATGTAATAATGTAACGTAATGTAAGGGTCTTGGAAAGGAGCTAAATAATAAGGAACCAAAATGATTACCAATCAGAGCTGGGCAGCACGGAAAGGAGAGAAGATCAGCATTGCTTTTATTTTTCCCTTGTCCCTTCCATGTGTCCTTTTCCCATTGGAAATTTAGTGCAAGGAAGAAAGAAGTAAAAGAACACTGGAAATAAGATTTTAAAAATATAGGAAAGAAGAAAGAGGAATCTTTACAAAGAGCAAAGTGTAATCTTTAACACTCATTCAAAAGTCAGAGTAGAGGCTGGATGTGGTGGTGCATGCCTGTATTCCTTGCACTCTCAGAGGCCGAGGCAGGAGGACTGCAAGTTAGAGCCTGGCCTGGGGAATTAATAGTGAGGCCCTGCCACAAAATAAAAAAAAAGGGTGGGGATGTAATTCAGTGAGAAGGCCCTGGGTTCAGTCTGTAGTAACAAAAATAAAGTCAAGGTGCTGAAATGGAACCTTTGAAGGATAGAAATGCATATTCCCACCCGATTTTCTTTTTTACCTAATACACTGAGAGCTTATTTAGAATTGACCAAAGTAAGACAAGTGAAATGAATGCCAAGGTGCTTAGCACAGAATGGTGGATACGAGGATTGTTGGTGTAGAACAGTCCTGGCTTAAAATTATGCCTCCTCTACTTAGCAGCAATTTCTCCATCTACAATCCGACAATACTAACAGTACAGGCTAAATATGCCCTATCCAAATGCTTGGGAACACAAGTGTTTGGATTTCAGATTTTGGAACACTTGTATATACATAATGAGATACCCCGGGCAGGGGACCCAATCTAAACACAAAATTCATTTTCACCTCATATCTACTGCTACCTATAGCCGGAGGGTAACTCTGTATATAATACTGTCAGTGCACCTGTGTTGAGTGTGACCTATCTCATGATGTGAGATGTGGAATTTTCTACTTTATAATGCATCGGCACTCCAAATTTTTTGAATTTCAGAGCATTTTAGATTTAGGATGTCCAACCTGTACTTACATAAAAGTTTGAGAAGATAGAGCATGAATATTATTTATCACAATCTCTGAAACACAAATGCTCAATACTTATTGAGAAAGAATGAGGGGATCTGGACTTGCCAGGAAAGAGCTTTTTTTAAAAAAAAGAAATGCTTTTATCTTTAGTCAAGAAGGAATATAACAAGAAAACAACGGATAGAAAAAAATATGTACATACATACATACATACTGTGACTTTTAGAGGTGCCTTGTAACCTTCAGCAGGTCAAATTAAGGCTGGTATACAGGGGAATGGGCTTACAAGGGAAGCTCAGCTCCACCTTTTAGGAAGAAATGTATTCATGGGGCAGGAATTCATTCATTGAGGATCATTTAGGAACCCCTCTGCCAGGAGAAAGAGCGGTAGAAAAAACCACATATCTGAAATATTTCAACACTCCATAGAGCTAGAAGAAAGTGCTACTGCTATCCAGGGAAACAGCTGCAAACAAAGGATGTTCGCTAATGAGGCTTTGTATCAGTTATATCACTGAATAAGGAGACAGGAAGTTTGAAAGCAAGAGAAAGGAAAACTCTCAAAGACAGCCAACAGCAGAGATGACGTTTTTGGCAAATGGTGGGTAAGTGTTTTCAAAAATGGCCAGAAGATCACAAGAAAGGAGCAGTTTTGGGCAGGAAAAAAAAATTATTCTAACATCTGAATTTAAGCCAAGTTATGTTTTCCAATAAAACTGTAACATAAACTTTTCCAATAATGAAGTCAACTTTATTGGCTTAAAATTATGCTTAAATTTGGTGATTTAAGGCCTAACTGGCAGGAGCCAGAGGCATCTGATAAATTTATTTGGCAGCAAAAATGTTGCTATTGTACTAATCTTAGAAATCAGAACTCCATGTCTAACTTCCCATTTGACTATTTTCAGTTACTTACGTCCTTCTTCACAGCTCCTTTTAGCTATATCTTAACTACATTATGCCCTACAGACCCTCATTTTTTTTTTTTTTTTTGGTTTTTCAAGGCCAATTTTTCCATTCTGTCATTTTAAAAGTTCAAATATAACTAAAGTGCTCCACAGTTGAATGTTACTGTCCTAATTCTGTAGGTATTTGATCTTAGTAGTCACTCTGATCTCCTAAAAACAATCAGTACATGGTTTCAAAGCCAGTTACCTTATCTATAGAGAAAGAACTGTGCACAATCTAGTTTCTGTAACTAAACTCTGACAAACCAGAGGAAGCGAGATCAAAACTCATTCATTCAACTCACTGAAACTCCTGCAGTCCCTGTCTCTAGGGAACTCTGTTTACCAGCCAACATGTGTGATGAGAAAAATAAAGCAATCTCATTCATGTATTGATCACACAGTATAAACAAATTTTGGATACAGAATGGAAATTATACCTTTAAAATTTCATAAGTTTGGGCTGGGGATATAGCTCAGTGGTACAGTGCCTTCCTGGCAAGCGTAAGTTCCTGAGTTTGATTCCCGGTACCAAAAAAAAAAAAAAAAAATTTCATAACTTAAAAAGGTATTTACAGAGAGACTGCTAATGGGTACAGGGTTTATTTCTGGAGTGATAAAATGTTCTAAAATTATACTGTGGTGATTGCTGTACAGTCCTGAAAACATTGAATTATTTGCTTTTAAACTGAATGTATAGTATATAACTTATGTTTCAAAAATTTTCCTTTCGCAATTAAAATAAGTTGTTCAGTATGAAAAAGTTACTAATCTCCCCCACGAACACAATGATAAACACATGACTGAATTGTGTGTAAACTCAGAGATATTATAAAACTGTTATAAATTTATATGAAATATAATTTGGTAAAATTACAGATATTCCATTTTAAGAGAAGTCTGTATTAAAAAAAAAAGTATGGGTCTGTCAAGAAAAACGAGAGGGATAAATCACTCACTAAAAGCAGTTATTGTCAGATTTTCTGAGTAATTAATTTTAGTTTACTGTCTTTAAAAGCATTTAAAGAATGCCTACTCAATTCATGCAGAGAAATTTAACTGATTTTAAAATAACTCTAACCCTTTTGATTCCTGGCACCAAACCAACCAACCAAACAAACAAACAAACCAAAACTCTAACCCTAAGCACATTAAACTTTCTTATATTCACTACCTTGCTATATGGGGTTGTTTTTAAACATATGACATTGTTATGTATTTACCTAAAATTTGGCTGGGGAGGGGACATGCATTAATTTGACCATACGAAAAGCCTAAGTTTTTTGACCACTAAAGGCTCCTGTAGCTGCAGGCTCCCATTTTCAAATATACAAGAGAAGAGGGACCACAGAATAAACAAAACTCTTCGCTGCAAAGAGGAGTCAGACACCCTGACTCCAACCTCTCCATTTTGCTGCCCTAAGTCACATGCTGCTCAGGGGCAGCCTCAGGAGTGCTGCCAGTGCTCAGGCCAGCGCCCTGCCTGCTGTGGTACGCTAAGCACTCACGCTTACTCCAACCAAGGCTAAAATATCTCAGCATGTCAGCACTCAAGGCTTGCAATGGCCTTCAGCTTTTGGTGTAGACTGGAGGGGAGTTGGCAGAGGAGAAAGGCAGGCAAAATAGTGACCCGTGGCCCTTTACATCAGTGCACATAAATGTTGAAATAAGGGTGTGTGTGATTTTCCAATCTGTGACAGTGGAAGTCATCAGGTGCTCCAAACATGCTACCCACTGCAGACCCAGAGTCCCTGCAGCACCTGCTGAGCATCCCTGTGCACAGGCCTAGCTGCCACGAACTCATTTCAGTTTATGTTTCTTAACAAAACCATAAGCCTTCACGTAAGAAATATACCTTTTTGATTTATTGCTTGTTCTTGGTCTGTATTCATGTGATTCATCCTCAATGCCATTTTGCCTTTTGTACCAATCAAATAACGTTCGCAGAATGGAAGGTAGGCAGTACTCAGAGAGGGAGCTCATGGAGCTGATGACCTACAGGAAAGACGCAGGCAATTAAAAAAGCTTAGTGGCACGCCCAATTACTGAGAAACTACTTCACAAATAACCTCAAGCAATATTCACTACTAAATTTTTGAATTTATCATAGCCCTTCCTTCATAATCTTTATTAGTACACTCCCAAGAGCCCATGGATCTTAGGGCTGACAGATGTTCCTCATGTAATAATAATTTTGTGCTTGAAGAAAGTTAATTCCTTCAACTCCCTTTTGTTCTAGACATTAGATGTTAATTGCGTACAGGTAGTTCACAGAACTGCAGAGAAGTTATTTTCCCACATCGTCTACCCTGTACTTCTAGGTCTTCAAAACATGCTTGCTGTGTATATAAAATATGAATACAATTACATTGTTTAAGTAAAATAAACAAATCACCCAATAATGTAATAAGTTTTCTACCAATACGCATTCATTTATTGATTTGAGATATACACCAAATTAGACTGAAGACATTAAGTAGGAATAATTTACCTTCTATTCTGTTCCTTTGATAGACTTGTTATTCTATTTTCCTTATCTGCAAAGATTCCTGATCTTTTACTAATTGTCACCCCCAAAACAGACCTCAATCCAGATCTCATGCCATATGCAAAAATTAACTCAGAATGAATAATAAACCCAAGCACAAAATCTAAAAGCTACAAAACTTCTCAAGAAAACAAAGGAGAAAATCTTTTTGAATTTGGATTAAGGAAACATGTCACAGGTAAAAAACAAAGTCTATAACAAAAATGTGATATACTGAAAATTATCAAAATTAAGTTTTTGCTTCTAGAAGATAGCAAGAAAATGACAAAAAAAGCTAAATACTGAAAGTATTTACAAAACACCTATTTACCTGTATCCAAAACATGTAAAACAGTAAGATTTAAACACTTGACAAACGGTATGAGCAAATTATAGATAGCTTTGAGTCTTTTTTTGTATCGTTTTAGTCAATTTCAATACATCTTTTTAAGACAGTTTTGGGTCTTTTTTTTGCATAGTTTTAGTCAACTTTAATACATCTTTTTAAAACAATTTCAGATCTTTTTTTGCATAACTTTAGTTAATTTTTATACATTTATTAAAGATAGTTTTGGGTCTTTTTTGCATAGTTTCAGTCAATTTTAATACATCTTTTTAAGATAAGTATAAGCAAATTAGAATACCCAGTGCTGGTGAGCACGTCCATATATTGCAGGCAGAAAAAAACTGGCCTAAGATATCTGGAAGTTAATTTGTACATATGTATCAAGAACACACTCACAATCACTCTCAAGACCATTCTTAGAATTTATCTCAAGTACCCAACTAGATATAAGCAAGAATGTTCATCACAGCACCATTTCTAGCACATAAGCATAAGAAACGTAAATGTCCAGCTACATGTAAATGTCTTAATACAATGTAGAATTTAATGTAGTCTATTTATGAAACCATTTAACAATCACATTTCAAAACTATTTGACATGAAAATGTTTGCTATATAAGCGAAAAAAGAATGAAAAATAATTTAATTGGTATGATCCCTATCTGGTATAAAGACCATATAAATAAGAGCACAGATAGAGAACAAGACCAGGAGGAAATTTGCCAATATACATTGAAACCAGGAGTTGTCCGAAAAGACAGACTGCCAGAAGGGGGAGACAGGAGTTTAAAAGGAATGAAGGTTTAACCTAAAGCTTTTTAAAGCAAGGGTCAAAATCTGAGATGAGAACCAGGAAAGAACATATGCAAAGACCCAAGGCAGGAAAGCCTATAGCAATGAAGATGTGAAGTCGTTCTCTGTTGATAATTACAGTAGTTAACATGTTCAAGGTGAGAGGAGTCTGGTACGCCAGAACGCAGGGGCATAAAGTGGAAATATGTTTTGTTTAGAAATCCATACGAAGCTCCTATAGATTTGTCAATGATCCCATAAGAAATTATGAAGGGGAGGTTTATTCCTCCAGAATACATGTGTTGGAACTGAATGAAGTTACTGTAAGGTTCTAGGCAGGGGAGATCTCAGCCTGAGCTAGGAGGTAGCAGAAGAAATGGGGACCTATGGTTAAGCTACTTCTGCAGCTAAGCAGGTGAGGTTTAACTTCCTCTTACAAAGTAGAAACTAAGGTGCAAGTAGCTAAAATACTTCTGTCAATAGTATTTTCTACCTCCACCTTTAAAAGAAGCCCTTTAAATTGAATGAAACAATTAAGGCTTTGTTTCTCAGATTTTACTTCTTGACAGTTTATTTTAAGCTCCTTCTCCCATAACAATGGTTGTATATACTAAGTTGTAATTATCTTTGATTACGAATTAATAGAAATTCAAAATAAATAGGATATTTCATTCAGCCTGCCCTGTGAATCTAGTCACCATTAACTGTTTTTTAAAATTGCAAACAATCTCATCATTAAAAAGAGCCTTCCCCCCATCCTGGTTATATTCACAAGCACAATGTTATCTTCTTGTGGTTGTGGATGTAACAGTAGTAACTTTTGGGAAGAAAGAAAATCATGGTGTATGTCAAGGTGTGACTTACTAATGCTTTCTAAAGTTGTTCCTGCACAAGAACTATTTCCCCAAGTCGGCATTGTCCAAAATACTTTGATTTGGGGCAGGGCATGTAGCTCGGTGGTACAGTGCTTTTCTAACATACAAGTGGCCCTGGGTTCAATTCTCAGCTCTGCAAAATAACTAAGTGAAACTAAAATGTTTTGAATGGGGAGGAGGTTCCTTCCACAGGGGGAAAAAAAGGATAAGGATTCAGAGCCCCTAACTATGAGTTAAGAGTCTTAATTATTATATGTGTAATAAAAATCCCAAAGCACCCACTATTATTATCTCAACATTTCAAAACTACTTGTATAAGTCTCAAGGAACCTGACAAGTACGATGATGCGCTGTAACACGGTAAAATGAAACACAAATGTGGAGCTGAATCAATGTGTTGAGGCTGGTTTCTTGTTTGTGATAACTGTACTGTGGTGATGTAGGACGCTAACAATGGGAGTAACTGGCAGTTCTTGATACTATGTTTGCAAACTTTCTGTAACTCCTAAACTAGTTTAAAATACAGTTATTAAAAATACTTGTGTGGCATATTTACAAGCTCCATTACTCACCACAGACCCATAAAGGAGATAGAAATTTATGTCTGATTCCTAAACACCTCTGGATAAAGTACACAGTGTTCAGCTACTTCAGTTAGGTGTAACCCACATTTCCTGTAAAGAACGTCAACAGTGTTCTTCAAACCTCAGCTATAGATTATTTTTAAATCTTTTTTTCTGCCCATTAAATAGTCACTGAGAAGCTCTTCTTGGTGTTAGTTCTTCAGGGCACACTTTCCATGGCAAATACACTGAGAACACCTCAGAAGGGATGAAAGGTCAGCTTGGGGTGGATGTGTGTGTTTTTTCCATCTCTCCATGCCTACTCTCGGGACGCCAGGCTTTCAGGAAGGAAGGGTGTAATCTGCAAGACCTGGCCCTCAAAGCTCAGGAAGGGAGGAAGGTCTAGCTGGCTTCTTGGTTACTCAACTCCTTCATTTACGGGAATCAGAGCCAGTGGGGAGATGAATTCTAGCTCTGTGCTCCTGCTGAAAGAAGGCAGGCCGGTGACAAAGATGTTCTTGTTGCATATAAATAATCATATTCTTCCAGGGCCCATGAGCTAGGTTGTGGGCCGTAGGAGGAGATGAAGTGCGTGGAATCACAGAACTATTTTATACTGGTGTTTTCTCTTTCAGGTGGGATGGAGGGGAATACTAATGGCACTTTGGAAATGTTCTAAATGTTTACTTTGACATTTTACATATAAATAGGCTAGGAGACTGTCTACTTTGCTAGAGTGAAGACACTGAATTTTCATAAGCATTTTATTATACTTGCTAAATGCAAAGAAGAAAACTTCACACATAAATATTTTAATAATTACTCAGTGGAGTCATTCCATATTTTACAGCAATAAGGCTAACTTGGTATGAGTGGGGCACTTAAGGAATAAATTTAAAGTAACTCCATGGATGGATTAATATCTGAAATAAGTCCAGGTGCCAAGTAACCATGGGGTTCAGGATCTACACTGAGTAATACCACAGAACTGAGCTATTCAAGTAATTACAAATGCAATTTATTACAGTTCAATCTCATATTATGCTCTCATTATAGTATTTGTGAGTGATTAACAAGCACCAAAGATAATAATTTACTTTAAAACATTAAAAATATAAAAATCTATACATTGAATAAAATTTTCCTGAAAATGAGAAAAGTTCATTATCTGAGTTTGGCATCTTTGTTCATTTCATAGAATGAATTGCTCCACTGGAGAATATGTAAGAAATGCTGAATAATACTTTTATGTAAAATCCAATGCTAGTTTGTTTTTATGCTCACTTGCTTGTATTTTCCATTTATACATTCTGAACAAATTTTTATTGAATTTGTTAGAATCAATGTTGAAACAATACTTCTGTTTCCTTTTCAGGAAAATTATCACTCTATAAGATGGTAAAAAGCTATTTTAGCCCTATGGTAACTGTATGGATATATTTTACAATGTATCCACCTGTTGATGCATGGCATTTTTAACATACTAGGAAACTAAGATGCAAAGATACAAAAATCAACATAAAAAATCAATGTTTCTCTATGTACTGTATCAATAATGAACTACTTGAGAAAGAAATTGGGAAAATAATTTAATTCACAGTAATATCAAATAAACAAACAAACAAACAAATAAATAACTTAGGGATCAACCTAACCAAGGAGGTGTAAAACTTCTACAGTTTAAAAATGCCAAAGAAAGAAATTAAAGATAACATTCAAAGGTGGAAAGACCTTCCATGTTTATGGACTGACATAATTAATAATGCTAAAATGACTACATTATCAAAAGCAATCTACAGATTCACTGGTGTCCTAATCAAAATTTGAAAGACAGAATGAGACAAAACAATCCTAAACTTCATAAAGAAACATGTAAGACCAAGAAAAGCCAA